TGATTAACGTAACGAGCAAGAATTCATAACAATATTAATTTACGCGTACTTCGATACAATTTTTTATTATACGGATATACGAATTTTGTAAAATTGGAAAAATTTCAAAATAAAATCGTCGAAATGAGTATCAATTTTCAGGTTCATAAATAAGAAATTTAATCAAAATTGTGTTTATCATTAATTAATATAATTTGCCATTACAGAAAAATTATATTGAACCCAATTTATTTATTTATTATTTTCGAGTCGATTTAATATTAAACGAAATTTTTTATTATATACTATATATTATTTATCTAAAAACATTGTTCTCTACCTTAATTGTAAAAATATCACTATATTTTCTCTTGTACGCTGATGGGTTTCACAATAAATAAATTAAAAAAGATAAAAAGTAAAATAACCTTGTAGATTAGCATTTTAACTTATTTGAAATTATTTGTGGAGTTAATAATTAGGGAAATATAAAAGTTTCATTGAAAATGTCCACCTTTCGCAGAGATGCAGGCTGGCAAACTGCGCAGAAAATTGACTATCGCGTACGGACGGTCTCCAAGGTAATTTCGGAAGTTACATTTGTCAGGGCGTTGTTCATACTACCCAAACTTGTACAACGAGTCTTGCAGTCTATGTTATCCAGGTCTGACCACAGTTTATAATCAAGCAGATTCAAATCTCGGCTGCCAGAGGGCCAGTCCTCCGTTGAAATGAACTCGAGAACATTGTTCCGTAGCCACTCTTGAGTTGTTATAGCTTTGTAAACTGAGCCAAAGTCTCGTTGGAGAATTCACCTTTGAAAGAGTTATCCTATGTTCTACTATTCGTTCTAACACATCTTTTTCGTAGACTTTAAATATTTTTAAACATTTAATTGCATTACCCTTTTGTTGAGTGGCTTGGTTTTTTTAAAGATGTCTACCAAATGAAAAACTCTTAAAAAAATGTTCTTTTAAAATTTGTAACAATCAAAAATTTTTAAACACACTTTTTAAAATTTCTAATAAAACAAATACATATTTCACGAGATATTTCGTGTTTTATGCGTGCATTTAAGCAGTCGATTTCCACGTTAAAATTGTATTCATCGTACTAAATTGCACCAATGACCGTGTTTATGGGTATCAGATAAACGATGTGATTCGTAAACAGATTTCATAATTTGTGCTTATTAACTGTGTTTCGTTATATTAGATCAGAACAAAACATAGCGTAACAGGGTTTAGCAATAATGAAAAAGTTCATACTGTATATTTGTAGAATGGACAGAATACAGTAAAGATCTATCTTAATAAACTACTTTTGTTTAGGGGCTTTTGGATTGAAATAAAATAAAAATAACAAACGATAATCTGGTGCTTGATGTTTTATTTGTACGTATGTGTAGTAGCACAAGTTTACTAGAATAAATGTATATTTACTTTGACGATTAAGGATTTTATCCTCGCTGGGCACTTCCATAAACAATTACTTACACTCTTTTAGTACTTATCGGTCTCGTGCAGGGTTAAAGATACTTCAGGGGAGAATATAGCGGTGGGGTAAAAATGGCCGCTCGTTCCGCAGACTGCATCCTCGCTAGAAGTGTAAGCGTTCCTTGAAAAGCCACGGAAAACTCTGCTGGGCGCGTCGTAAACTCTGTTTGCTTAGGACTCTTCCTCTACTTTGATGGAAATTAACACAAACACCGGGGTTGGTTTTGCTCGAGGAACGCAAAGACCGTTTCCGCTTTCCCGCGATTCGTGTTTCCGCTGCTTTTCTGATACGCACAGAACCGATGAAAGAAGACGGTGCATTAACGTACGGTTAATTGACCACGGGTTTGCACCTTAATTACGCGAGTAATATCAGAGCAAACGCGTTAACGAAACACCAGGCGTGCATATTACTTTTTACGAACACCAGTCCTCGGATGAGTCGGTTTCTTTTACCTTTTTCAAGGGATTTTATTTCTTTGTGTTTGCTGGTAATATTGTCTGTACACGTACTTTACATGGAGTAATTGTCCAGTGGCGGACTCTTTTACTCTTCTTTATGAGCTTCAGTTTTGTTTTGGGGGTACATACTGATACTCGACGACTTTCATTCCGTGGCTTTTCGAGACTTTATAGGAAAATTTATAGGTTAGATTTGTGTACGATATAATATTTCAACTGTTGGAGTAGAGTACCAGATGAATATTAATAATATCTCACCCGTCGTTATTATATACATATACGTATCTAATTATAAAAAAGCATATGATGATTAATAACACATACCTCTTTTCTTTTTAACATATCTCTCAGCCTCCTTCATATCAATATTACATTCCGAAATACTTCCATATAATGTTTACCAACTTGTTCCACTCTTGCCAACCTGCACACTTTCGCAACTAGAGATGGCGTGCAAAATCACTAACAGTGATTTATCACAGTGATCATAAAATCACGATCACGCTCGTGATTAAACTCCATTCACGACCGTAATCCAAAAGATGGCGTTTTACTGATCGTTAGTGTTTCGCTAACTCCCTTCAGTGGAAATTCAAATGCGCCAAATTTAAATTGTATAGTAATGTAGTCTAAGCAATGAAAAAGGCTGCTTAATTGCATACTTTGTACATTTCAAATGTCAAATTGTTTCAGTCGATTATTTAAATAAATGATAAGTTTGTTGCCACGAAAGGGAAGTATTGCTTAGGTGTAAAACACTCGCTTTAGAAATAGGAAAAAGTATAAAACCATCAGTAATGAAAATTCTTATGTTTATTTATATGAAACATACATATTATACATTTATATACGTTTTTGTACATTAATATGACATTTCGTATATATTTATATTATAAAGAAAATTAGTTAAAATTAAAAATTACAAACAGGTTAGTTTCGCGTATACATTACTTTGTTGAAAAATTTTACGAACATTTATGAAATGAATGTTGAAACAATGAGAAATAAAACTTATACTTACATCTATTTATCACTTTTAATTTTTTAGACCATATTATAATATAATACATATACAGTCTAAGGACATGTAATTCGTCAAAAGTGAAAAGAATGCTCCCCACCTATCAAAAGCGACCACGAAAAATCACCATGATTAGGAATGAACGCGATCGAATCACGAGTTCAGAAGTAACAATTCACGCCATCTCTATTCGCAACTAATACATAACCTATACTTGTCACTCTTTCAGTCTCAAACTGAATGCATATTCTCACTCGTTCAAGAAAACCAATCTCACATTAACGATATAATTTGCATTATCGAATATATTTATATATTTCGTTACGAGTCATTTTGTCGGTCGGAAATAAACATATAATTGATAACAATCATCAAGCAACATTGAATTTGCTAACGAAAAAATTATGAAAGGAAAACAGAAGATAGCAGAGATGTAATCTATCTACTACATAATGAAGGAAGAAATATCTGCTACTGGAAATTGAAATCCACTTTTCAATGAACTAAAAAGCTAAAATTTTATACATTTATTGGCAGTGTGGCTACATTTCTGGAAAGAATTGAAAATATTTCATTTTCAACGAGAATCTAAATATATCTAAAACTTAAATTTAGATTTTATATTCATTTTAATCGTATTTTACGCGACTGCCACAATTGTCTCGTGAAAAAGAACAGTTCTAATAAAAAAAGAAAGTAAATCACGAATTATTTATAATTTCTCGTAATATTTGAATTTAATTTGATTTTTTCGACATCTGTAACATTTAATATTTTATTCGATCCTCCATATATTATTTACATTTCGCATACGAAAAACTGCAACGTATATTTTTTACTGTGAACGTATGCAACCCGAGAAGTGTACACAATAAATGTACAGTCTCCAATTTTCCAGGTTTATACATATGAAATATTCATTGTTTTCGAAACCTTATTTACTTTCAGCAACGACTGCATAAAATCTCTGATTCTATCTGGTGATGGTAAAATATCTTTTTTAAAAACGTGTCATACGAGGAAGGTATCAATCCATGGAATTCAAGTGGAAAAATTCCAAAAATGTAATAAATGATACATTTTTATTCGCTGGAAGCATTTTTATTTTCCTTTTTGCTACAGTAATATAAAATACATGTACACTTCTGACTTTGCATTGTAGTTAAAATGCTGAACGTTCCCATATTAATTAAGCTTGTAATTGACGCATTCTCACAAAATATTACGCTAATTTAAAAAGTACAAAGAAATTACTTTAAATAGCCAATTTATTTGTATAATTAAATTATTATTAAGCATGGTTTTATATTCGTAAAAAAATTAATTTTTAATGAAATATTGTGGATTTATAATCACACGATTCGCGTTATACTGATCAGATCGTGCGTGTACAATTATATTGCACTCTTTGCCATGAAGCAATTGAGTGCAATAGGCAATTGCTAACGTCGCATATTATTTTATGCATGACGGAATCGCGTTTGACAAACGAACGGCTTACGCGCTTTTGCAGGCTCGGCATCAGGAAGTATTTAAATGCTTATGGTTGCAATGCTGATTAGATGGCCTTCCAGGGAATCAAGGGTGCGATGTAATAATCGTTACTCAGAATTGCGACAAACCGTACGCGATGGACGACATTTAAATAAAAGAAATAAATCGAGCGATCGCGTAATGGCGAAACCCGTTATATCTATAGATGAACAATCGTAACATTCACGAAGCTATCAACAATATTGAAAAATCATTATTTGTACTTACAGAATCACAAGGGTTTTAATAATAAAACGACAATTCTTTAAATTCGAATTTCACTTTCCTTAACCATAAATTGGATCGAGTATTGATTTACAAACGATGGATATTAACAATTATTTAAGTAAAATCCAATATGAAAGTGCATAATGAATTTCGTTTAAATTTACGAATATAACAAAGATTCTATCCAATTGAATAGCAAAAATTGCAGCATTTAAAGGAATGCAATTTACAGTTTTAAACAATTACGTACTTGTAGCGTCTAATCTGTCTTTCCTTTTCAGGGTGACCGAGGTATACAAGGATTCTCCGGCGTTGCAGGATTCTCGGTTCGTACAAATCTCCATTCCAATAAAACTTTCTTCCTCGAGTTTCAATTGCTAAATTCAAGGGTTCGAGTTTTCGAATTTCCAGGACAATCATCCGAACTTTGCTCTTCGTGTAATGTTAGGGCGATGGATCTATTCTAAATAAACACGCCAACTCACGAATATTTAGTAGTGTACTTACAGACAGAAATATAAATTAACTCGTACTACGATGCAACGCGTATGCACGTGGCTTTCGAGACGGAAGAAAGAGAACGGAAGGAACGCGAACGGGTAACGCAGGAAGTAATGCGTAATTGGTTCTTGCCAATAGAGCGCGTGACCAATAGGAACACGGCTCCAAGACCGCGAATTTTAAACTTTGATTAACATGTAACAAACATATTTCATGTAATTTATACAAATCATAAATATACAGGATGGCAACAGCATTCCATAGAAACTTTACTAGTATATTCTGTAGCTAAAAATAAAATGAAAATGTTGTCTACTTTGTTAAATAAACGGTAACACCATTATATCATAATAATTTTTAAATATCGTTGCATAAAATAATAAATTAAATAACATTTACCTAGTTTATTTGTTTAGGTTTTTTTATAATAGGTAATTGGCACTGTTTTCAATATTTCTGTACATTTTTTAACAATACTTTAGGATTCTATTTCACAGTGATATGACAAAAATTATGATACAAAGTAAACGAGTTCGAACACTGTGAAGTGTGTTAAATAAAAAATGTAAAATTTCGTTGTCGCGAACAAGCAATTGTGGAACTCGGTCAAGTACGTTTCATTAATAGTGGGATTTGGTCACCGGTGCTGATGGATTGAAAACTGTATTCGTTAAATCGAGAATATAAGTGTTCTCGTTAACAGAGCCCCAGATTTTCACACTCCGAATGCTTCATTTTCTTCTTGTTAATTCCTTTTTAATATAATCTTTGTCGTGTAAGAGTGACCAGTAATTAATCGTGGCTTAATGAATTCTCTTATATGCGAGAAATCAAGTGTTAAGAAGATGATGATGAATCCGTTTTCAGATTTTATACGAAGATCGATATTTAAATTATACACAATTTTATTTATTCGGTCACCGACAATACTCTATTTCTAGTTGGATTGGCTAAAAAGTTTAAAAAATTAATTTTGAAGAAAAGAATTCTACAGCTAATTTTTTCAAGGCGTTTTGAATAATTATTTACAATACTCACGACCTCGTCGATTTCAATCACCTTGAAGTATATTGAAGGGGAAGGTTTCTAAGTATCTTCAACCTAAGATTAAGTGCAATTCGCCTCTAGTTTTAAAGTTACGAGCATTAGGAGATAAAAGGGAAACAATGGGCAATTACAATTTATTTCAAAGTTAGAATTGCTTGTTCAGATGATCTTTAAATACAGACCTTACCAAGACCATTACTTTTCCTCCTTGAAACTCATCAATTTCTTTCCTGTAACACTAGATTTACAGAGCACGTCAATTTGATTTCATTCGATTGAATATGATTAATGTAACGATACGGACATATATTCTAATTAAAAGAAACACCGTATCTTAATAAAACATTTAATACGTCAAATTACGAAAAGGAAAGAAAACCTTTCCTTCCATGCCAGTCTTATGGCAACACACTTGCTCGCCACCAGAGGCTTGCGTCAAAGCTTTCTCACAAGTACTCGGCCTTGTACATGTAAGAGTTCTAGCGCTTCGTATAGCATCGAAGATTCGAGGAAAGAAGTAGTTGATTCTAATGGTCTCCTACAATAGTAAATGTATTTCATTGAAATTTATTTATGTAAGTATTAAACAACATTTTTGTAGAGAGTCAAACAAATTTATTCAAAATGAAAAACAAATTTTGAAGAAAAATCGACTGGGGGTAGATGTAAAAATTTAACGGCGAAATTAAAAAATTTCAAAACATTCTGAAAAAATTATTTTTGATTTGATTGATAAATATAGTATAATAATTGCCTAACAGTTACTTTGAATCAAGAAGAACTTGAAAAACGTGTTACTGTCTGAAGGTTCTGGCTCTACAAGGCCTGAATTAGAAAATAAAATTACCCCACGCATTGAAAATGGATATCCATGGAAATTCGAAGGCTCTGCCAAAAAAAAACAGGTACAACGCAAAAAATAGTCTCGAAGGAACCTGGACATTTAAATTCTTACCTACAGGGTAATCCTGGTCTGCCTGGTGTGACGGGTCCAGATGGTCTGGACGGTTGCAACGGGACCGATGGACGTACTGGTGCGCCAGGAAGGCCTGGAAGACATGGTGGACGTGGTGAACCAGGTCCAAGTGGAGGCTATGGACCCACCGGTGAACCTGGCGACGGCGGCGTCAACTCCAAAGGTACGAAGGGTGAACGTGGAACACCGGGCATAAACGGACCTAAGGTAATCGAAGTTATAATTTAATACTAATTCACGGGCTCTGTTTCTACAGCTATCGTTTACTTTATATTTGTAGAGTATACCACCGTTTTTAAAAATGTTATGCTAGCCTAATTAGTACGAAATTCGAAGAAGTAACGATGTTGCAGGATTTCTTGAGCTGGTTGACGTGATATTGATTTGACATTTAACTCGGTATTGGTAAAATTATTTATTTGCCCCTCGAAAAAGCAATAAAATTTGCTGTAAAAATCTTTAACAAGTTGTAACTTTTTCAATTTATAAATTTGCTTGTTTCTTTAAAACATCGTGTGTAAACATGTATTACTAGAAGAAAGTCATATACATTATATCATAACATCATATACATTCCTGTAGCGTGGCAAAACATAAATAAATATATGTATAAAGTTTGAAATTTATGCGTCCAATAGTTTTCTTAAAACAAAAATTTCATATATTACTCAATTTGTAGTGATCGATGCTAAAGTGATACGTCTATATACGAGAATATAATTCTCATAAAAACATTTATTTATTGACAAAGTATATATTTGTAAAAGGTATTTGTTATATATTTGTAAAATACGATAATATGTACTGAGACATTACTTTAACGTCTCGAATACATAGCTAAATGTTACTGTACTATACGTATAGCCTATATAAAGAACAATAATTAATAATTATAAAAGTTAATAATACAAGCAACTTTGTTTCCCCTTATATTATAAAGAAAATTGCAAAAATAAATGACACGTCGTTGATTCGTCGATGGACGTTTGAATAATACAAATCCGATGAACCAGACAGAGCGACTACATTATTAAAAACACATTTTGAAATAATTATAAGCTTCTTAGTTGGTCCAGAGACGAATAACACTGCTATCAATAATTAACTCAATCCTAGTAGTCGGAGTTTGCTTATGGCGACAACCTGCGTCTCGAAACAATCTCTGTACGTTCCAACTTCCAAAATTAATTTTCCCGCAGTAGTTCTGGATCGATTGAACTAGTTTCGTTGCTAATTCGCTTGAATTTTGTCCTCAGGGTTATGAAGGACCGCCAGGGATGAAAGGCGCAATGGGTTATCCAGGAGAGACAGGCGAGAAAGTGAGTACAAAAACGCGACTTTATTCATAATCAGTTACCCCCACTTGTATTTGTACGCTATAATGGTAGATTCACTATAAATGAAGAGGAACTTTTTATTATGTATTTTTTCCATTTATTTTTACCGAATTTTGTTCATTATATTCTGTTATTACGTCTTCTATTTACGAAGTAGTTTTGTTTTTGTTTTTTATAATAATAACGGTCTAGTAATATGCTCAGATAAATATAGTAAAAACTTGTTTTTAAAAATTTTATTTATTAAATATGTTAATTGCATTCGGTCTTGTTTTCATTTTTACGATACTAACTTATTTTACTATATTGTATTACAGTTTGCTTATATCTACTTGTAATTATACTATATATGTACTTATATTTATATGTAACATTTAACGGTTCCTACATTATATTGGTTGTCTTAGATATGGCAGTTTGTGTTTTAATTTAAATATTTTGTTATATTTTTGTTATTTTGATTATACAATTTCGATGTATAAAATTCTTGAGTTATTTTATCTATGTAGCTTGATATTAGTGGAAGCTGTGAGTGTCATGTAAGTCTGCTATTCTTGAGTATCTATCTCTATGTAATATAAGTCTCAAACATTTATTTTGAAATAACTGCAGCGGTTTTTTGTTAGTCGGAGCTGCTGAGCACCAAACAGGTCCAGCATATATTAATATTGGTTTTAAAGTAACCTTGCTTAAAGTTGTTAGCAAACTTCTTAGTCTGTAACTTTTTGAGTTTGTTCTCCAGTGTTTTGAAAAGTACATGTATTTGAATATTCCATTTACATATAATGTATGTTAATTGAACTATTGCTTTTTTTGTGAAATCTTCAAGAAATTTTCAAAGGCTTTCTGTGATCTCACTTTCTTTGTGATTTTCTTCGACTCTTTTGGAAAGGCCAGTATTTGGTTTTCCTGATCTACTAGACTTTGGATACCATTTATGTAATCGGGATTATATTGCCTTGCTCGACTGAATCAATGGTTAGTTCGATATTGTGTACTGTCCCAAATTGTGTTGCTATCATGTTAGTGTTGATAAGTTTTGGTTTTAATATATTCAAAACCCTTAAATATCTCAGTGTGTCAAAGAATAGACTCGTACCAGTTTCAAAAATAACCAGGAGGAACAAGTTCTTTTTTCGTGTATAGCCAATAACCATTATAGTGTAGGAATGCATTAAACTCTTAAATATCTCAGTGTGTGAAAGAATAGACTCGAACCAGTTTCAAAAATAACCAGGAGAAACAAGTTCTTTTTTCGTGTATAGCCAATAACCATTATAGTGTAGTAATACATTAAACTCTTAAATATCTCAGTGTGTGAAAGAATAGACTCGTACCAGTTTCAAAAATAACCAGGAGGAACAAGTTTTTTTTCGTTTATAGCGAATAACCATTATAGTGTAGGAATGCATTAAACTCTTAAATATCTCAGTGTGTGAACGAATAGACTTGTACCAGTTTCAAAAATAACCAGGAGAAACAAGTTCTTTTTTCGTGTATAGCCAATAACCATTATAGTGTAGTAATACATTAAACTCTTAAATATCTCAGTGTGTGAACGAATAGATTCGTACCAGTTTCAAAAATAACCAGGAGGAACAAGTTCTTTTTTCGTGTATAGCCAATAACCATTATAGTGTAGGAATGCATTAAACTCTTAAATATCTCAGTGTGTGAAAGAATAGACTCGAACCAGTTTCAAAAATAACCAGGAGAAACAAGTTCTTTTTTCGTGTATAGCCAATAACCATTATAGTGTAGTAATACATTAAACTCTTAAATATCTCAGTGTGTGAACGAATAGATTCGTACCAGTTTCAAAAATAACCAGGAGAAACAAGTTTTTTTCGTTTATAGCGAATAACCATTATAGTGTACGAATGCATTAAACTCTTAAATACCTCAGTGTGTGAACGAATAGACTCGTACCAGTTTCAAAAATAACCAGGAGAAACAAGTTCTTTTTTCGTGTATAGCCAATAACCATTATAGTGTAGGAATGCATTAAACTCTTAAATATCTCAATGTGTGAACGAATAGATTCGTACCAGTTTCAAAAATAACCAGGAAGAACAAGTTCTTTTTTCGTGTATAGCCAATAACCATTATAGTGTAGGAATGCATTAAACTCTTAAATATCTCAATGTGTGAACGAATAGATTCGTACCAGTTTCAAAAATAACCAGGAAGAACAAGTTTTTTTTTCGTTTATAGCGAATAACCATTATAGTGTAGGAATGCATTAAACTCTTAAATATCTCAGTGTGTGAACGAATAGACTTGTATCAGTTTCAAAAATAACCAGGAGAAACTAGTTCTTTTTTCGTGTATAGCCAATAACCATTATAGTGTAGTAATACATTAAACTCTTAAATATCTCAGTGTGTAAACGAATAGATTCGTAACCAGTTTCAAAAATAACCAGGAGAAACAAGTACTTTTTTCGTGTATAGCGAATAACCATTATAGTGTAGGGATACATTAAACTCTTAAATATCTCAGTGTGTGAAAGAATAGACTCGTACCAGTTTCAAAAATAACCAGGAGAAACAAGTTCTTTTTTCGTGTATAGCCAATAACCATTATAGTGTAGTAATACATTAAACTCTTAAATATCTCAGTGTGTGAAAGAATAGACTCGTACCAGTTTCAAAAATAACCAGGAGGAACAAGTTTTTTTTTCGTTTATAGCGAATAACCATTATAGTGTAGGAATGCATTAAACTCTTAAATATCTCAGTGTGTGAACGAATAGACTTGTACCAGTTTCAAAAATAACCAGGAGAAACAAGTTTTTTTCGTTTATAGCGAATAACCATTATAGTGTAGGAATGCATTAAACTCTTAAATATCTCAATGTGTGAACGAATAGATTCGTACCAGTTTCAAAAATAACCAGGAGGAACAAGTTTTTTTTTCGTTTATAGCGAATAACCATTATAGTGTAGGGATACGAGTGGGAGTAACTGTATCTCGCTTCGGGTACCGTAACGACCGATCGGGCCAAACCGAGGGGTTCGTGAACCTCTTACGAGAGTTTAGGTCGTGCCGTTCGTTCGCGGTGGCACAGGAACGAGGGAAGAGAGAAGGTTGAGAGAGGAACGGACGCGTCGAAGGAAGAAGACTATATCGGTCCCCCGAATGCGTACCGTTCCTTTTTGCGAAACGCCACCTGCTTGCATGAAATATCGTCCTCCTGGCGGAGTGTTACCCGGTAATATTTAACGGACGCGCTGGCGAAAGAAGAAGGAACACGAAGGGGGCGGGGACAGGAATTCGAAAGAATTCCGCGGGGCCGCGATATCGCGCGATAAGTAGTTCGCGGTGGAATCCACTTACAAGGGCTACGTAAAAATTGCCGCGAGACGATCGTCTAACACCAGTGTCCTCACAGCTTTCGTGATAAAAATCGCCTTAAAGGAAACTGGACGTTAACCCAGCCTGTCCTCAATTTGTTAACCCTTACTAGGAGAGTGCAAATCCTTCACCAATTTAGTTGAAACTTTGCACGTTTATAGATTTAGTCATCTGGTTCGAGAAAATATACCATCATAGGCGCAACTACTCAATAGTTTTTGAAATATTTATGATTGAAGCTTTATTATACTTTGACTATAGATTTATTTCGAATAATTATCAAGTACTGTACCCTCCTACGCTGGGGGCCGGTCTTCGAGTCCCGTCCGTAAATAATAGTTTTTTTTTCAATCTATTCTTTTATTTTCTATAATTTTTTGCAAATAATAGTTTTTTTCAATCTACTTTTCATTTTGTATTAATTTTTTGCCCATGAAAATATATCATTTTAAATAAATTGTAAATGAAATTGCTTAATTTATTTTCTACGCTTTCTCATACTAGTATATATTTGTTACAAAATACATAATAAGTATACTGTACAAAAAGAACAGTTTACTATAACAATTTTATTTACTACAGAAAGAACACAAAAATATAGATTCTATTTTTATTTACAATTTATTTAAAATTATATAAACATATCTGCACAATAAATAAGTCGTTAACTTTATTTTTGATCATTTATAATAAAAAGTGTCATAAATACCGACGCGAGTGTACCACAGATTACATAATAATAGTAATATTTTATATACATGATAATTTATTTAAAAATTTGTTTTCTCCGCTCACCATTAACGATTACTGAGTCATCGACAACAAAAATTCTGTTCAAACAATAATAATTTTAGTTGTAAAATGCTAATTGGCTAGAAAGGAAAAGTTAGGAAATAAACTCAGCTTTTATTTCTTAAATAAAAATGCAAAAAAATTTCAAACGAAGCAACGCGATTGGCAGGTTCGAAAATTCCTTGTTTCATATTTATTTAAAAAAAGAACGATGAAAAGGAAAGGTGGTAAAAATTGGTGTAAAATACTTGAATCGTAAAGTAATTCTGAGGAATGTTTTTCCGCGAAGAACAAATATCCAGCAATCGTAAATACAGGTGACGCGTCGGTGTTCGCGAAATGCGTTGTAAAATGAATTCGCAAAAGTACACAAAGAGCAAACCGGATGAGAAACGATGAAGCAGTCGTAGCAAAGGTGCCATGTGTTAATCGTTGAATACGAAACGGACCAGCGTCTAATGAAATCTGAGGCGTCGCGGTTCTCCGGCTGTTATCCGCTGACGCCACTATCACTGATAACGCGAGACGTCTTCTCCCGGAGGAAGATTCCACCGAATGATCGTCAACTTCCAAGAAACGCAAGACCTCTGTTCTCTGCATTGGCTATCTGTGAAAGGAAAGTAATGAATACCTGTCGATTCGATGGAGTAAAAATTAGAATTCAATTTAGAAAACAAAAATTTAACTGTTCGATCGAGTAAATTAATATACTTGCGTTCGTTGTAATCTATTATTGAAACACAAATTTCCCCATTTTTATTAGCTACTACAAAACACTACACAGTATTCAATATTTAAATATCGTTACAAGACTGACAAATATCACGAGCGAATGTTAGTTTGCACTTTTATCCAGTAGAAAATGAAATAACATATACGAGGACATTCGAACTGGGTGCCGCCATCTTTACTTCTCTCGTTCCACTCGAGCATTCTGCGCGGAACAAAAATGTGAACAAGCTTGTGACTCGAAATATGTTTTATACGAAGCAAGAAAAGATTTTTAAGAAGAAGAATTTCATTGTTATTGAACTAAAACCTGCGTCGAATAAAGTAATCTCTTAAAATAGCATCGCTGCAAGATTAATAACAAGCGTCATTATTGTATTGGTACTTCGTGTTGTAAAGTAGGGAAAGATTTCAGACAAATTTTCGTTGAAGAAATGGAATCTTTGTTCCTTGGTACCGTAAAAATTCGTCTCGAGATCGCGTAAAGATTGTGTAAAATAAAACGATCTGTTAGGGTCATCGAGGCTTTCCGGGCCTGCCAGGAATGCAAGGTGATATCGGTGAACCAGTGTACGGCGTGAAAGGTGCTTCGGGTGAACTGGGTGACAGGGGTGAACCTGGATTACCGACCACTGATGAATATAAGATGAAAGAGCCGTATGAACTGACGCCAGGTCCGAAGGGTCCCAAGGGAATGCGAGGAGATGAGGGAATGCGAGGACAAAGAGGAATGGACGGCTTTATGGGCACCACCGTGAGTATTTTATTTATTTATACTTACCTACGTTTTCTCCCAACACACATTTTGTATTGTGCGCGCGCGAGAAGTTGGCTAACGGGACGGGAGAAGAGAGAGGGGAGTACATCGGTCGCTCCGCCCATCCCTACTTTCGTCGTTTCGACCAATAGCGACGCGTCGTTTCGCCAGCCAACTTTTCGCGTACACAGAGTATACATTTTGTACACATTTTGTCGTATAAAAACAATGAGAAAAAATCCTGTAATCGTGCACCGTCATAATTTCTGAGTTATAACCATTATTTGTGCTCCAGTGATGTCTAATTGCTTACCTTTATAAGAAATACTCAAAATGACCACCTTCGATTTAAGGGAGCAGTCTAATGTATACGTTGCAAAATTTAACCATCTTTATTAATTTTTTTTAACTAAATATTACCTCTAATGCTATAATTTATTTTCACAGTTTACTTAACTATCCTTTGGGAATGCAAAATAAATTTTTCAATAATTTTTATTGACTTTTCATGTTTTTATTACGCCCACAGTAAACATGTCGTAAATTAAACAATGGCGTAGGTGATTGCAGATCTCAAGGTTGACTAAATCAAAAAAATGAAAAAGATTTTTATTCGGTAGGTTTTCTGTTATCGCTCGTAGCAAAATAATTAATTTATGTTGAAGATTGGCAAAATGGCGAAAGCTTGAATTAAAAATTGCAAGATTTTGTCATTTTTTCCGCAAACTTTGTAATAAAAGTATATGATATTTTCATTATATTAAAATATAATTTTAGTACAGGCGAGAGCTGTTAGTATGTGGAACAACGTGTAAAAAATTTCAGAACAATCGAACGTATAGTTTCTGAGATTTTATCTACGCCAGTTAAGAAAGTAACATTTCGAGAGAAACGCATTTAAAGTCTGCTAAATCATACTAATCAATCCCAGCTCTAGATACAAACGCTAGAATTTCGACTTTTAAAAACAGGAGATGTCTCTTGACCTTATCGTAAACCTTTCGAAACAGTTATTTATCAATCAAAATTTAACAGTACATTCTTAAATATACATACATACTTTCAAGAACTGAAATAAAAAAAAAATTGATTTTTCAAAGGTCTCACATGAGACTGCCCCCTTAAATGCAAACATGCAATGAAGCGTCGTAGAATTTCTCCATTTTTTAAAAATTAGAAATAAAAATTGAATATCTATCTATAACATATAACCAGTGTAAGTTACTACAAATTTAAGAACAAGTTAATTTATTTTGACGATGAATGCATTAGACTCTGCGAAATTCTAAATACTATTACCGTGGTCGCAGAGATCCGAGAAGTTTGAGAATTAAAAGATAATCTCCGTGGATTATCGCGTGGATTCATGGTGTTCGTGAAATTTTTCACGCAGGGAAGTCAAGGATATCCAGGTATTAAGGGCTGGAAAGGAGAAGAAGGGAACGTCGGCCCGAGGGGTAAACATGGCAGAGATGGTCCAGTTGGTCCTGCTGGATTTAAAGGAGATAAAGGTGCTCCAGGTTACGCTGGGATAGATGGACTGGACGGAGATACCGTGAGTATCGTATTTCCATCATCAAAAAGTATTTAACCAACTCTGAGTTCGGTCCAGTATTATTTAAATAGATTAAAAAATAATCGTTCATCAAGAAAGTAATTAAGAAACTGTTAAAAGTTGGAAACTGTTTATGCATTTTATACCTTAAATTCAGGGAGAGCCAGGTGAATTAGGAAATAAAGGGTTGCCTGGTGATGCAGGATATTCCGGTGTACCTGGAAAATGGATGCCAGATCTCGACGAAATAATTCAAGGACCCATTGGAATTGCCGGAGATTTAGGTTCATTTTCATTTACATTTACTAAACCGTGGCGAATCATTAGATTGATTTGTACATTTTGCATTTTATATTTATTTACGCGAAAAAGCAACATTTTTTACACTGAATCTGGATCCAGACTACTTGAAAAAAATTCTACGAATTAGAAAATAGACGTTTGAGCCTGCGAAGTAAGTTTTATGTGAGAGTCGATTTATTTAAAAATCGATCGGGCATTTTTTACTCCTGTCGCGGGGACAATGAATCCTCAAAGTCTTGGAATTAAAAAACCGAGGGGAATCATTTCGAAATTGTACGATATTTCTAACATGTAAAATGACCTGTACCGAATTTCTAACCATGAGTTAGTTTTAATAAAGAAAAATAAATTTAACGATTATTTATTGCATCAGGTCCACCGGGTCCAAAGGGAGATTCGGGAATACCTGGTAAACCTGGTCTAGTAGGCTACATAGGTCCACCTGGCCCACCAGGACCTGCAGGACCTCCTGGGTTGGCTGGACGAAAAGGATCTTCCGTCAAAGGAGAGCCAGGATCCGATGGTGCGTGTTCGTCAATGTCCCATACAAATTGTTGACCAAACATCGAAATGGATAAAAAATGTGTCATTGTAACTGTTCTAGGTCTTCCCGGACCGATGGGCAAAGAAGGTCTACCAGGTTCGTCTGGTCTTTCTGGAATTTCTGGACCAAAAGGATTCCCTGGAGTAACGATCTTCGGACCGCCAGGTTTGGACGGAAAACCTGGAATGCCTGGATACTCGGGTCCACCTGGGGATCGTGGTGATGATGGTTTTCATGGTAATTATCTTCCTACTTTCATAAAATTCTGAATTCTTATAACTATTGAATTTTTATAAAGCCTACAGCCGGGTATTCTTCAAATTTTATGATGAATATTTGTTTAAAGAAGAAGTAGAATCTTGTAATTATATATAGTATGTGTATCTTTTGCCTAATTATCCTGTTTTACTTGTACTATACTATTTATTAATTTTGAGTTATTTTTTATACACAAACGTTTTGGACAAAGTATCAATCAACTGGTTTTTTATGAAACAGGAACACGAGTATAAGTGATTGCGTTTTATTTTTTTTATGCGAAAAGATATAGTAAAACACATCAATGTCGTAAGTTAAATTTTTCAAGATTTTTATAATTTATTTGGCTTCACTTCTTCCTGTTATTTATTTTTCATAAAGATCATAAGGTTCACCAAATAATGAATCTTTCCTGTTTTTCTTGAAGTAACAAAAAATGCTAAATATTAGCAAACTAGTCATTTAGACACCATTATAACATCAAACCTAGTTACTGAATAATTTTTACAAGTGTCCAATTCCTTTTCCCCGTTTTAATTGAAGTACTAATTATTACATTGATATGATGATATAATTTTTATATTATATACAGGGTGTTCGGCCAACCCCGGGAAAAATTTTAATGGGAGATTCTAGAAGCCAAAATAAGATGAAAATCAAGGATACTAATTTGTTGATTGAGGCTTCGTTAAATAGTTATAGAAACATTTCCGGCCACACAGTATATTTTCGGTAAAGAATTTTTTTCTCGAAAGTACGTAGGATTTCGGGGGTGTGTCTATTCACAAAAAATGATTATAATTGACCCCCACAACCGAAAATAATTTTTCCAGAACAATTTGAAATTTTTTAATTTTGTCAAAAATTTCAGCACCATCTCGAATTTTTTTCTCGAAAGTGCGTAGGATTTCGGGGGTATGTGTAATGACCAAAAATAATTGCAATTGACCCCTGAAACCGAAAATAATTTTTCCAAAACAATTTGAAATTTTTTAATTTAACTTTTTAATAATTTTTTCGAAGCCTCAATCAGGAAGTTGATATTCTTGTTTTTCGTCTTATTTTGGCCTTTAGAATCTTTCATTAAAATTTTTCCCAAGGGTGGCGGAACACCTTGTATATCATCTTCCTTATACCAGAATGATGAACGTGATAACTTTTACCTTTTGCAGTAAAGGTGTATTCTTAACTATTAAATGTCTTTTATATATTCCTAACTCTATGCCCAACTAATAAATATATGGCGATTATGGTCCAGTTTAACAACGCCAAAACTGTAAATTCTGGAATAAGAAAGAAGATACCGCGTGACAGTTATAATTTAAGTTATGATTTAATTCTCGTTGCAATCGGTAACGATAATATATCTTGATTGAACAGGTCCAAAAGGTTTTCCGGGTAAAGGTATCAGAATCAAGGGTCGTCCAGGTGATCGTGGTTTGCCAGGACCACCAGGATTTCCTGGAACCGACGGATGGCCTGGTACCCCGGGTAACAAAGGTGCAACGGGCCTGAAAGGTGACGACTGTGGTCTTTGTACAGCAGGTAGGTTCAATTGTCGAAACACGAAACGATGAATTTCTTCGAAATACGAACAGGAATAATCAAATACAGAATTTACCACGTTGCAATATTATACACAATTGTCAACATTTATCCTATATCTGAGAAGTATTCACGTTTCTAAATAATTCTCTTTCCCTGCTATAATACAACGATAATTTAATTTTAAATTAAAATATACTTCGGTGTTGAACTCGTTTTATGGATCAATTAAATAAATTTAAATTTATTTTACTTTAAATTTTATTTGTAAATAGAGGTCCAATCGATTCAGAAAATAATTTCTGTCGAATTAAAATTGTATTATAATTAAGTAAAAGGTTTATTCAAATTTTTTACTCATAAATTTGAATATAAGTAATCGAATGTAATGCATTTATATGTATATATTAAACCGAAGAAAATTATGGATAATATAAATGATTTCTTTTTCAATTTTTGAATTTCACAATCATCGTGCTGCTTTATGTTCTCGTGATATTTTCATATAAAAATCTGTAAAAAGAATATTTATCAGAACGTTACCACGTGTATATGTAACATTCAGTTGCTATAACTGATACGATACTACTCACCAGCGTTTTGTGAATGCCGCTTTGAAAATCCGTGGTCTGATGCGTTATATTACTCAATGGTCTCGCTCCATTTGTCACTGTCCAGACGGTATCACTTTACTAGCGGGACTAATGATGATGACATTTTGAGGCAAGAACGTTGGAAAGTTACAGCAATGACTTTGACTTGTTGCAGAGTTGTGGCGTTATCGAATTTGTACCCTTCAACGAGCACTATATCTTAAATGAAAATTTGAATCAAACAGAACGAATTGTCCAAAGAAAAGCACAGGGAAACAGACCTATTCTTTTATCGATGGACGTTAATTAAATATTCATAAATAATGTCAAATAGACTGCATCATTTTTTTTTTTAATTAACTTAAAAGTGTAGCTACGTAATTTCTAAACATTTAAAAATTTCAAGATTTATGAAGCTATTTGATTTTTAAAACAGTCTTCAAATGTCCCAAAGCTCCAAATTGTTGACTTCCGTTAAATATTTACAAGCAAAGCATATGTCAAATATACACCTAATTTTTCTATAATGATGTATTGTCATCTAAAATGCAGTCTACAAAATTTAAAGACTCCGAATAAATTAAAAGTGTTTGAATCTTCCAAGATTTATAGAAATCTGAGGTATTAAAAAAAGAGCAAGATGATTTTGGAATTCAAAACTTGAAAAAAAATTATTTATTTATATTATTTATCCTCCATTGTCAATGGTATTAGGTTTATTCTTTTACCACAAATATGTAATAATTGATGTCAGAAAAGAAAATATTCTATTAGCTGAATGGAGGTTCCACTGTATACAATTATATAATATATTTACTATATGTATAGTAAAAGAATTTTAGAAATAAATAGTCAAAAGTGAGTAAATAAATTTTGATTAGTTGAAACATTTCTATTTTTACTAGAGCTCAATATACTTGTAACAGAATTCTATTCTATTCTTCGAGTTGCTCGATTTTGCGAACTTTGATTGAAAATTGAGTCAAGTAAAAATGTTCGAACTTTCTATTTTTTTCCATAGAAAAGGGAGAGCACGGTGAAGACGGACGGGATGGGTATCCTGGACTGACAGGATACCATGGATTACCTGGTCCCCGTGGATATAAGGGAAGTCATGGAAAACCGGGTACTGTTGGACCAAGAGGGTTAGAAGGTGAAAGCGGAAGACCAGGAATCGCTGGAGCTCCGGGGCCTAAAGGAGAAAGAGGAAAGGAAATATATCCAGACGGATTATTGATTGGAAAGCCTGGTGATCAAGGCGACGTAGGATTCGCTGGTCCAGAAGGAGAAAGAGGAGGAAAAGGTGAATCTGGCCAGCGTGGTGACACAGGACCATCAGGACCTAAAGGTCAAAAGGTCAGAGCCTGTTACCAATAACCAGCATTATTTAAGCGTCAAAATTTTTTAAACATACAAGTTGCCCTAGTCTTTAGACTCTTAAGAGAGTAGGTTTAGACATGCAGTTTTTAGGCCATTTTTATTATTTTTTAAAAAGAAAACCATAGACTGCTTCGTATTGACATTTCGAGCATATATTTAACGATGTTTTTCATACATATACGCAGTATTATTTTCAAATCAAAATGATGAAAACTACAAATCCCCACTCTTGGTTTAAAAAACACAAATTGACTTTAACGTGACCTTTAAAAATTGAAAAGAAGACGTTCTCTTTTATATTCCTAAATTCCATTTAAAAGATTATAAAAACAATCTTGTTACATTCTTCTCTTACCTCTTATCGTTTAGTAATTATTTCTAACAACACATATTCACAACCAACCTGTATTTTGGGATTATAAAGTCAATTATTAGGAAAGGAGAAAGCATTATAAACCGAGAGGGTGTAGAAATGACCATAAACATATTATATTTCAGACGGAACAGAATCATGAATAAATAGGGAGTTAATCTTGTTTCCAAAAATTTCCAATAACAAAAAATGCTGTTTTTCTTTCAGGGTAATCATGGTGAGTCCGGATATCCGGGTCGCGATGCTTTCCCAGGTTTGGATGGTAGTCCTGGTGAAAAAGGTGATGACGTATTGGTACCAATCGAATCTCTGCATGGAGATCCCGGATATCCGGGCGTACCAGGTATGAAGGGTCTTGCAGGTGATAAAGGAATAAAAGGAGACCGCGGATTGTCCTCGAGTTATAATATAGATCTGTCAGGAGAGAAGGGATTTAAAGGAGAAATAGGTTATCCAGGTGAGAATTTCGATAAACGACGTTGTTACCTGTTCGATGAAAAAGCAAAATAAATCAAACAGTTAAAGAATGGTTTAAAATTTTAAATTTCTTTGAGTTTAAAATAAGATAATTTTGGAACAAGGATAAAAACCTTAATATAAGTATAACTCTTATAAGTAACATGCAAGTTTTTAACGTATTACATTATAGTAATTCTCACATTTTGCAATAAAATTGTTCAAACGTTTGAACAGATTGAATTTTCTCAAATTTTATAATCAAATGCTTGACTTTGGTTGAAAAAATGTATTTCGGTTTAAATACTTGAATAATACAAGTACTCGAAAAGCTCTACTGCCAGTTATGGAACTCTTAGAACATAAATGCTCGTAGGCGACGATGGAGCTCCAGGTGCCGAAGGACGATTGGGCGACGAAGGATATCCGGGACCACCAGGAATTGTTGGACCGCCCGGTATATCGCCTCCAGGCCCTACAGGATTAAAGGGTTACCCAGGAATGCCGGGAGAAGAAGGTCCACGTGGCCCAGCGGGTACACCAGGAGCACAAGGACCTACTGGTTTCCCAGTAAGTATCTAAGAAATAATTAGACTCAAAAAAAATGAACCTAGTCTATCTAATTTTATCAAACTTCTCTTGCTTTACAGGGTCGTGTAGGTAGCAAAGGTGATCGAGGTAACCCTGGTACGAATCTGACGTACGGTGATTTCGGTGATGAAGGTCCCAAGGGTGAAAAGGGAGAGATCGGTGACGCTGGTCCATCAGGCTTGCGTGGTAGACACGGAGTAGACGGTCTTAAAGGTTTCAAAGGTGGCAAAGGAGCTCCTGGTTTCGCCGGTCTACCAGGTCTTCAGGTAAAATTACTAGCGTTGGAAAGGTAAAAGATTTATAAATACTTTAAGACTTAATGTATCAAATTTATGGTACAGGGAGCTAAAGGTTCACGGGGTAACAGTGTTGGAGGTGGTAGAGGCTATCCTGGAACACCTGGTATACCCGGAATGCCTGGAAGAATTGGAGAACCTGGTCGTCAAGGTACGATATTTTTGTTTAAATGAATTCCATGCAACTAAATGTTAGGGACGTTACAAAGAATGATGATGATGACACTGTATTTGATGCATTACTGTATAACGATGCATCATTGTTTGAATTCCAACCAGGAAGAGCAACAAATAAAAATAAAACGGAAATAATACAGAGTGAACCACCTAACTAGACTGCTTGCAATTACTAGACGACTACTTCGCATCAAAGTCGAAGTCAAACAATTCGTGTGCTTCCTTTGTTAGTGAAACGATAAATGTTTGTTCAGGGCCCGACGGATCAGATGGATATACCGGAATAAAGGGCGTTAAGGGGGAAGTTGGTTTCCCTGGACGTCGAGGTGACGACGGTGATCCTGGTCCAATGGGTTACTTAGGTAGAGACGGTATGCCAGGTATGCCAGGTATGCCAGGAGAAGACGGCGACGTTGGTGAAACCGGTAACCCTGGTATGGCCGGCAGGCCTGGCTCCGATGGAATTTCGGGACTGCCAGGATCCAAAGGGGAACTAGGAAACCCTGGACCAGCTGGTATTCCAGGTTTGCAAGGTTTGCCAGGATATCCAGGTGCCACTGGAGACCGTGGTCCAGATGGTTTCGACGGAGCTCCGGGTGAAAATGCCTTCAGCGGACCACACGGTGACATAGGCGAGCCTGGTTTCACAGGAGCAGTAGGACCACCTGGACTCGCTGGTGTTGATGGTAGACCCGGTTTACCTGGTGAACGTGGTTTTGCTACCGACGGATTCGATGGTCTGGAAGGACCGAAAGGTGAACCAGGTTACCGCGGATTTGACGGTATACCCGGATCAAAGGTACGTTTCTGGAGATACTGACAATAAAGAATGTTAAGAATATTGTTCGATTCGTGATATAGCTAGAGTAGAGTTCGAAACTGGGCAATTTTTAATATTTGATTAAAGAAGAATAACTGAAATCCTTTGAGGTTGCTAATGCACATCATTATATTAATGATAAACTAGAGCTAACATTTGTAATATAAAACGAAAACTATCTGTACTATAGGGTGAAATCGGTGATATGGGACCGGATGGATTGAAAGGGGCAAGAGGAGACTGGGGCATCCGCGGAAGACCAGGATTACATGGTATTCCTGGTGAATACGGTGTTAAAGGTGAACGAGGCCTAATGGGATTGCCTGGACCCAATGGTCTCAATGGTAAACCAGGAGTGAGTGGCGATCCTGGTAAAATGGGTCTGCCAGGTAAGCTTTACAAACAAAAGCTAATTTAATACTTAAATATTAACACGCATAGTATCCCAATCTTTGTTCAGAATTGTTTAGACTCAGGAATCCTCTACATATGTATAGTACAGTTATCCTAAATACTTCTTTAAAGCTGAAAGACAGGAGTCGAATGAAACAGTAAACTTTTATAATTGAAAGTTATTTAGTAAACTTTTATATTTGAAATTATTTCTTTTATAATAATTTTGCTACGATAGTTCAATTTTAATATATCAAATGCACATTTTCTCCTTGTAAATATAAAAAATATAGAAACATACAAAGTGTCTTATATTTATGTTCAATACTGTGTGTGTTAGAGAATTTGCGTTCACTGACTGTGAATTTTTGTTAGGAATGCCCGGTGAGGAGGGTGTTCGAGGATTTCCTGGTACAATGGGTGCACCAGGACCGAAAGGTTCGATAGGTGAACCTGGCCTACCATCGTACACTGTGGCCGATGTGGGAGATTTTGGAAATCCTGGCTACGATGGCCGGAAAGGTGAAAAGGGAGAGTGGGGTGATCACGGTTTCGTAGGATTACCTGGTCGAAAGGTATACAAACTGTTAATGATACATCGTGTAATCGTATTATGATTCGATCTTAGAGAAACATTGACTGTGTAGCAATTTCTGAAACTAATCTTGTAACGACACGTGTTTCGTAAAAACGATTGCGTTGCATTAACTTCATGAAAACCATAATTTTCAAATTTACGAAGACGCCTAAATGGATGTGTCGTTAAGGAATTTTTTTATTATTAATCTGTGACAAGATTACACGTTATGTTTTCATATCTTTATTTGATATTTTTTGATCATGAATAATCATTAAATTAGCATAACGAGATGAAAACATCTAAACGTAAATAACGTTAATATTGTATTTAATATTCTAACGAAAGTTTTAAAATTGTTTATGCATAAATGTTTTTCGTAAACATTCTGTTATCAAAAGAATATTAGTAAAGACTTATAGTAGATTTGCTTCTGTCTCGTTAAATCCTTAAATAATCAGGTTATTGTTTATTCATTTCGTTACATACACACGGTAGTAAAATATTTTTATTGCTATGCGTATTATTTAAAGAAACCATTTTTATTTTAGGGCGAAGCAGGTGACATAGGATACACAGGGCCTGATGGATTTCCAGGCATGCCAGGTCTTCCTGGTATTCCTGGTAATGAAGGACCTCCTGGACGTCCAGGTAACAATCAAACGTTTTATAAATAGCACATTCAAATATATGCAAACAAATAAGATAAATAACCATTAAATTTTGTTATTAATTTTAATTTAAATGCCATTTAACTTTTGTAACATTTTGCTTTTGATATTCGAAATCCAAAACTTGTTACAGCGAACCCTGGATTATCTGACTCGAGGTTTTTAAAATATTAATGAAGTCATTACGTTGCTCCTATTCACGTTTCTCGTAAAAGTCGAGCGAACGTTCAATAATCCATACATTATATAACGTTATTACGATATATTACGTACACAAAACAGATTAATATCTTAAAACGGTCCTTTCCATAAGCACTACTCGTTGATCTATAGCACTTTGAAATTCCACTGGTTTTCCTCATCGACAATTAGACTTTTCGCCGCCATCTTGAATAAGTCCAAAAGCAAGGTGTAGCCAGAGCTGTTTCTAACATCGATGTAATACTGACTATTATGTGTCAATATAATATTTTAGGATTATCTGGTGAATTCGCCGAACGAGGTGACAAAGGAGTAGACGGATTCGATGGAATACCTGGTGTACCAGGAGATGCAGGAGCAAAGGGAGCTCCCGGAGATTATGGATACGATGGTCCCAAAGGAAACAGAGGAGACGTTGGTGACAGCTTCCATGGACCAAAAGGATTTCCAGGAGATGATGGTCAGTACTCCCCACTCGTAATAAATTCTGATCACGTTTGATTACATATCAGTAAATGTTAATACGAATTGTCTCTCAAACCCGCTTTTAAGGTTGCGGTCTTAGTATTTCAGCAGCTTGACAAGAATTAAGGCTACTATGTTGTGGAATCTCTGGTAGAAAGTCATTTTAAGTTTTTTTTTTCGTAAGAAACTAAGAAGTAAAAGTGAAAATTATTTACTTTGAAAAATTTTCCTTCGCTATATAATTCAAATTTTGCACATTCGTTGCAGTATAGTATTTGCAAATTACTAACAAATATATTACTTTAATTACTGAGGATATTAGAGGTTTGTACAATATAAGAAGAATCTTGACATAATATCGAATGGGTGTGTTGGTAGAACCCTTAAACTTTTTGTTGGGATTGTATTTGGCTCATTCTAAACAATTCTAAACAACTCATTATTATTTCAACACATTTATTTTTATTTTAACAATGAACGTACATAGGTATTTCTACCTACACGTGTTTCCACACAACGCCATTACATACTACACGGGCGCTCTACTCCGGTATTCCCCCTCATATCGCCGTTCCAGCGCTACCAACTCCAATCAGTAAAAATAACTAGACACTTTTTGCCCCTTGCCTTGTAGGTATATCACACTGAACAAAGAATACTGACGTACATTTGTATATCTGCGCGAGATTGTTTTTTTTTTCACATACAGTAATAAAGTTATTTCTTTTTGTGAATGTGGGAATAAACTTCATATTCATTGTACGTATATCTTGTCACTCAGGTCCAAAAGGTTTCGTCGGTTACCCTGGAACTCCAGGAATGGAAGGATTGCCAGGTCTCCCTGGATCACCTGGACTAAAGGGATACAGAGGAGAACACGGAAGACATGGAATCAGTATAAAAGGAGAACCAGGAGATCAAGGACGGCCTGGACCCGACGGCAGGCCAGGACGAAAAGGCGACAGAGGTGATTCGGGCCTTTCTGGATTCGACGGACTACCTGGACCAAAAGGAGAACGTGGTGATGAGGGCGAGACTGGTCTATCTGGAGTACTTGGACCTTCAGGCCCACAAGTTAGTAGTCTCATATTACATAAATTTTGTTTTATCTTCTAAAGAAGAAATTATTTATAAGGTCATAATTAATTAATACTCTTGAGTCGAATCGCTGAATCTGAAAGCTAATAAAACTTTCTCAGTCATCTTTGTAATTGCATATCATTGCAACATCTTTATTTAGACATGAATTTGATACAATTCTCTAAAATTCTACTCCATTAACAGGGAGAAAAAGGAAATCGTGGTATAAATCACTTCTCAGCTTTCCCAAGAAAAGGAATACCCGGTGACATAGGATTCGAAGGACTGCCAGGTATAAAGACGAATAATTCTGAAAGATGCGGAAGATTTGGTGTAAAAATTACTTTAAACAACCGTTTATGTAGGTTACTTTGGAGAGAGGGGAATGATTGGCGATCCAGGAGAAGATGGAATACCTGGAAGGACAGGTGAACAAGGAATGATTGGTTTGCCAGGAACTGCCGGACCTGATGGCAAAGAAGGTCCTCCCGGTTTTTCTGGTGCTCCCGGTTCCGTTGGACGTCCAGGATCCGTAGGTAAAGAATTGATTATTAACTATCAAAGAACATGCTAATAAATGTTAGTTGATTTGATATTGAAATAATGAAAATATAGCGAACACCTGAGACTAAAATTACAAAAAGAACTAAAGAATATTAATACAAAAGGGAACTATTGTAAACTTCCTTTTTGATCATGAAAGCAAATTAAAGGCTTTTCATTTATTAACTGAACACGATTAACCCTTTGACTATGGTCGATTTTGACGCAAAAACTTTTTCTTGCCTTCTGCAACTGACTGACTGACCGCCTGTAGACGCTTTTAGTAGCCAAAGGGTTAAATTTCTATAAAAATGATTGCAACCCCTTTGCAACCCCTTAGAAAACTCTTTGTGCTCTATGAAATTATTCCCCAACTACTTTCTATTTGAACGTAAGGCTTATAGAGTGTCTATTTTTAATATAAAGCGATTAGAAAATATAAAATTGTCAATGATGAATTTGCAGGATACCCCGGATTACCAGGAGCCCCGGCACCACCAGCGCCAGCTCCAAAAAGCAGAGGCTTCATCTTCGCTCGGCACTCGCAATCCGAAATGATACCTCTGTGTCCGAAAGACACGATCAAACTCTGGGACGGTTTCTCATTGTTGCATATAATGGGTAACGGGCATCCTTACGGGCAAGATCTTGGTAAGTTAGGCGACGATAGCGATTATACAAAACGTCCCATGCAACTGGGAATATCTACAGGGTGTCCCGTAACTAGTGTAAGAACCGGAAATGGGGGGTAGCTGAAACGATTACTGAACAACAATTTCCTTTGCAAAAATGTCGGATGGGGAAAACACTGACCAATCACGGCGCACGCTTACCGCGCGCTCAGGGCCGTCAGAACTCGGAGAGCCCACGCGTCGGGTAGGTAGCAAGATGTGCATTGAAAATACGTCGAGGAACGAATACAAATAATTAAAAATATTACCACTGCAACTGTTACCTAATTCGTTAATTACTTCGTAATTAGTACGTAAATTACTAAATCGAATTTATTAATTATTTGTATTCGCTGTTTTCCAGGAAAAAGGAATAAAATCTCGGAAGTTTTAGGAAATTAACCCTTCGCACCCGAGTGACGCTTCTGGCCAGAGTGTTTTAAAATTAAAATAAGAATTATTTTCAGAAAATTAAAATAAATACGGTAAGAACCATTTGTAAACGTTTGTTATTAAAAACTGTGCTGAAAAAGTAGACTGGATTTCTGCATGCCGAAACATTCCTCGAATGCAAAGGGTTAATAGAGAAATAATTGAAATTCGATTTACCTGCTGTGCTGACAATAGGACCCAGGCAGGTAATAATTAAAAAACGAAGCCCCATCCGACATTTTTGCAAAGGAAATTGTTGTTCAGTAATCGTCTCAGCTACTCTCCATTTCCGGTTCTTACACTAGTTACGGGACACCCTATATATCTCTAAAACGGTTAGAGGGTACATCTGGAAAATGCAACTTCATTCTTTTTTTAAATGGAACTCTATAGTTTTGCACTATTCGACGCATTTATTTTTAAATCCTACAAAAAAATATTTAAATACTTATACAGTGTGCTCGGTCACCTCTTATTTTGGCCTCCAGAATCTCCCATTAAAATTTTTCCCAGGGGTTGCCGAATACCCTGTATAATAATTCAAGAGTTATACCACTTCAAAATGTACTAAACTATCTTGGTGTATTTTACAGATGTCATGGAATATTCACACTATAAAAAATATTTCAACGATCTGCAGTCTAAATGTTCTAATGTTAAATGATGTTCTATAATATCTTTGATGAAATTGATTGCTATACGAATAGTGCTATAGAGATAAGAATGCTGTTATAGTGCCTAAACGTTTGATACGATGTCTTCCTTTAGGTGCCGCTGGTAGCTGCGTTACTAGGTTCTCCACTATGCCCTTCATGTTCTGTAACTTCAACAACGTCTGCGATTACGCGAATCGTAACGACTACAGTTACTGGTTGAGCACGACGGAACCCATGCCTATGTCGATGACGCCCATACCAGCACCGGAAGTCGGCAGATACATCTCCAGATGTTCCGTTTGTGAATTCCCAACGCGAGCCATCGCGGTTCACAGCCAGTCCATGTCTATACCGGAGTGTCCGAGTGGTTGGGAGGAACTTTGGATCGGGTACAGTTTCCTCATGGTGAGTAAAATTATTAACACATGGCAGCAGAAAGTGACCTTGTTGAGAATAAGCGTTGCATGCATGTATTTTTAATGGAAATTTGTATCCATTGGTGCAGTCCCCTCCCTTGCTAAGATCAGTACTACCTGAGGAGGGCACTCGTTTATTGCACTCCCTGAGTGTCTCATTCTTTTTTTCCGAGCCTCAAAATCAGCAGAAAACCGTGAAGCTAAGAATAGCATTTTCGTTTTGTAAAACTACGTTAACTAAATACATACTTAGGTCGAAACTCTGTTGTATTTATTTAGCAGATAAATATTCAACAGACCTAAGTCGAACCCTCGATTGATTAACTTTCATTGTGCCGATGTTAAAATTAATTTTTCATATTACTATATAATTTAAATTAATTTTTGTAACATACAGGGTTCCGCATTTTTCCGTACACACTTCAGCAGTGTGTTCTACAAGTCAAACTAAGACTAAAATGTTGTATAACAAAAAATCTATAAATGCTTTGTTAATCTTATTTTTACTTGTAGAACACACTGCTGAAGTGTGTACGGAAAAATGCGGAACACCCTGTATATATATATTAAAATTACCATAAAAAGGTCGAAAATGAATTTGTAGATCTAATTTAAGGACAGAGAAGTTGAAATCTCACAACTTGATACAGTTTTCGCATTATAGTGTACTATTACTAAATACGTTAGCCAGCGAGTCGTATTGAAATTTTGAAGTTCCAGATATACTTAAGATTCAATTATAGCGGCGCAAAGGATGATCCAGTTACAATCAATAAACTAAATCAGGGTCGGGAATCTCTGTTCCATATTTCTCCTGTCCGAATTCCGAACGACCCAATCCATCAATACCTTTGGCAAACTAGAATCGTGTTAAATATAATTAAATTTGTTGAACTTCAAACATGCCATTACGAACAATTTCCACGAAACTTGAGTTCCTGGACCGCTTTATTAAAGAATCCATTAAGATGGAAACTTCAGTTATTAGAACATAGTTTGCGACACGGGAAGTGGTTATTAATGTGCTTTTGTAAAGTGATGATGATGGAAATGACACCTAACCTAACCATTTCAGTCTTGTGTTTCTCTTTAAAATAACAAAAATAGTTTCGTTATATGAAATGCAGCAATGATTCGTAAAATGAACCCCAGACGTGATTCGTAAGTTGAACATTTCTATCCCTTCCAACTGGGAGATACGTTCATTTCCCTTCGACTTCTTCTTGACATCTGTTTCGCGACAAAATACAGCAACGATTCTTAAAATGAACCCAGGCATGATTCGTAAGTTGAACATTTCTATCCCTTTCGACTGTGGGCACCCCCCTTAGAGCCAGTGAAGCGTTAAAGACAGGATTTTAAAAAAACCCTGGAGCAATGTTCATCTTACGAATCATTACTGCAATAGTTATTTCAAGTAATGAATTTTATTATATTGTTTGTAGTAACGGGTATTTCGACAGAATGTTTAAATACCGCAGCATATTATTGCCATTTTATTTTATTTATACCCATTTAATTTTGAATCTCAAACTAAAATAAAGAAAAGTCAGTGCAGAATTACATCGATGAATGACTAAACCCGTTGGAAACTTACAGCATAGGGACGCGGGGGCGGGCGGCGGCGGCCAATCGCTGATCTCGCCAGGTTCCTGCTTGGAGGAATTCCGCGCGCGGCCCTTCATCGAGTGTCGAGGATTGGGCACTTGCAACTACTTCTCCACTGCCACGTCCTATTGGCTGGCCACCATCACGGACAGCCAGATGTTCCGGAAGCCATCTCAGCAGACTCTGAAGGCGGACCACACCTCGCGGATCAGCCGCTGCGCGGTGTGTCTTCGTCGTCGCGTCACGGAAGAGCCAAACCCGTATCGAGCACCGCTACCCTTTACTGGCTACAAGCATCGCTCAGATCGGCGTTATCCCTATTAGCCCTCAGAGGCAATCGTCACCACCAGTAGAGGAGGAGACCCCAACAGGAGCGAGGACAGCAGATTGGAACGAATTCGCAAACTCGAACGAACCGCGAAAACCCCTGGCAGTGGCTTAAAAAATCGCGACGTCGTCAGCCACGATTCACCAGTGACTTTGCAGGAGAACAGCGACTCTGTGTATATATAAACAACAGGATGAGACTTCGAACCAGTAGCTTTAGATAAGTTTGTCGCGTCTTCCTCAACGGCGCAGAGAACCGGGAGCAAAAACGCTGTTGCGACACTCCAGTCTATCGCTTTGTTCTGCCAAAAGAATTATAGATCGATTTTATTAATTTTTGTTAAAAAAATTAGTTTATGACTGCCTTTTTTGTTGCCCGGCGTACGCACAGTTACGGAAACTATTGCCAACGGGACTATCGTAGACGGAAAGAAATTTTATATCAACTAACTTTCAGTATACTCGATGTTGATAAGTAGACTGCGGATGTTTGTGCATTTATGGGAAATTTTAATTCTCAATATTCTTCAAAATCAAAAATATAAGAAACGCTTAAAGCACGATACGACGTTTGAAGCAACCCTCTACAAAGCTCCCATTTTATTCATTCTATTAATAAGAATATAAATTTGCATAAAGATTCGCAGTCTATCGATAAGTGTCAACGAAGTATTGTTGCAATAATGAGATTGAAATATCCCACAAAACGAATTGAAATCGTCGTTTCGCATTATGCAGGTGTATTGAAGTCCTGAGTCGACGTTAGGAGTGTGAACATGTGTATGAGTGTGTGTGAGTGTGTGTGTGTATGAGAAATTTAAGCGTGGTCAAAGTCGAGTCGGGACGACATTGTTCTCCAGCCACGATACTTTGATTCATTTCAGTCTTCTTTCACGACCAAATTGAATGTATTAATCTCACGATTGGAATCTACCTGCTTCAACATTGCTCGAAACAATTTTTGTAGTATTAGACTTCAGCTTCTATCAATAATCTACGAGTTCAAGTATTTCAAAATTATTTGTCCGTGTAGTTAGATAGAAATAGTATTTATTTCTTATTCGGTCGTTTGTTCAGACATTCAACAGTGTATGTGATATTAACCCTTTTATGTAGAATTATCGTACCCTGAACGTATGTTATCAAAAACAGAGTAATCCCCAAGTTACAATGTTACTAACTAGTAACTAGTAATCAATAAATAAAACATGAAGAAAGATCCATTTTGCAATACACTTGGTGTACGACCTGATGTTTGAATTATTTAACAAGAAATTTGTTTAATACTTCCCTTACATCCCCACGCTAATAAAATATAATTTAACTCCAAAATTGAACTATATTAATTTAATTTATAACTGCTGTTTGTACAGTGCTGCGACCGAATAAATACGTTTACTTGAAAATGAATCGTAAAGCAAGGAATTAACTTAAAAATTCTTATAAAGTTCACTGAGAAAACTTCATTGAATTTGTCATGGTATTGTCTTATAGAAATAGCTCTGCGGATTCAGACATTTATTATTTGGCTCGAGTATTAATTAATTCATGAACGTAATGGATGAAACAGAGGGTTGAAATAACACGCGAGTAAGTGACTTTAAAGTTCAAAGTTCAGATAAAGTGTAGCCGAAGATAAAAGAATAAAATAAAACGAAGGATCATTTTTCGTCAACGTGGCATGAATTTCTGTAACCGTGTGGACAATTATGTGTGCGTACCGTTGCGGCCGGATTTAGGGATGATATATGTCTTATGCCAAAAAAATACGAGGGCTAACGTCCTCGACGAAACTGCCAATCGACGTCGCATCGACCTCACGGATAAATTTAAATTAACGATATTTTCTGTACGATATACCGCTACTGTAACTGTCTATGTATTTACAACGAATAAATATATTTTATAGAAGCTATCTGGAAGCTGTGGTCCAGAGATCTGATTTGTAAAAACAACATGGCGACAGGGTCTCTCGCATGCTCTTCTGTGAACACGTTTTCGAGTAATTTATGGGAATGATACTAATACAGAACATTTATTAACAGTCTATTTAAATTATTTTAATATAAAATTTCATTCAAGTAATAAATTAGTAAAACACCGTATAGCGATTTATTATTAATGTAAAATATATAATTTTATTTTATAATTCAGTTGTTCATTGTACATATCTAGATTAAAAATTTACTCGAGTCTGGATATTACTGAGTTTTATTTTGTACATGGAATTATCGAAAAGAAACTGGCAGTGTCTATTGCATTCTTGAACAAGGAATAGATATTTACTCAGATGCACTTTCTGTAGACCCACAATCACAGATAGAATAATAACGTTATAGTTATGTTTACTGCATTTATGACCTTATAATAATTATATCTAATAGACTCTATAAGAATTGTTAAATTATGAAAATGAAATTCTTAATATGAAAATTAAAGGTTCCAAACGCAGACAGTTTAGTCGATTAGAAAATTTTATATTATGTAGTAGTAAATGATACCAAATTGTTGCTCCTATTCGATATTATTTCAATGCTTAATCAACTCTGCCTCTTATAGAGTAGCCTCACCAATGATTGACTGAATAAAATACTTTTTATATTTTATTGTCCATTTCTCATTCTTTATGGAAGAACCAATATGGATGACTTGTAAGGCTCGTTAGGTTACTCCTTTATCATTACAATAGGATCATTTCTACCAATTTCTGATCATTCATATTTAATAATTAAAAACACAAGTTAAATTCTGAAATTTTGAAACTCTTTTGATTCAACTGTTGATACCTGTCATCGTTTCCAGCTACAGTTTTAAGAAAATGATTGTAAAATATTTCATTATTCTATTATAAATTTAGAAACTTTTGCGTCGTCCCGATGACCAAAATCGTTTTCTGAGCTAATATTTCTTAGCGTGCATTTAGAGCAGCAAAAGTATAGCACCGTGAATAACCGTGACCTCTGACCGCACAAAGATTTAACAAAGAGCGTAAGTTCAGATAACAGAAGCTGACACGTATGCTGGAGATTGAACGAGCATTTGCATAAAAGCTTCCATTTACTTTGAAAGATCTTCCGCGCACTTGGAAAGGAAAAGAATTCGCATTTTTCCCGCAGCCACGAATGTTTGCCGCGTTTGAAAACGTGTACACAATAGAGGCCTTCGAGTTCCTTTTCCGGTAGACAGATCGATATTAAACAACGCGAAGGATAAAAACAAAATTGTTTTCCTTTCAAATATGTAATTTTTTGAATTGTATTTTACAAATAATCTATTTTTTTATTATATTTAACGTTTTTTAAGTGTGTACAGAAAATGTAACAAAAGAGATGCCAGTAACAGTGTTCTGGAACGAAAGAAGGGAGCACAAAATAATATATAATAAAAAAACTCTCTTACGATTTTTAATAGTCTGTAAATTAGATCAACTTTAGCAACCGCCAAGCTGTTTCACTATTATGGTTGGCATATATTACAGAAAGTTCCAAAGAATATTTATATCGAGATATAGAAACTATTGCGTTAGCTATAATAAGTATTTCACAATTTTTTATTTATGTATTGCGTACCGATATTTTAAATAATAAAATAATATACAAAGCATTATTATTAAAAAACAGATAAAGGCTTTATAATTTTTTTTTATGAAATTCAATTTACGATTAGAATTATATATGCATTATTATAAGGACATTTTTTATTTTCCCTACTTGCTTACCACTCCTAATATTTCTGACAATGTAAAAAGAATACTACTTGCTACTGCTAGCCTCTGCTGACTACTGCTGACCATTGCTGACCACTCCCGATACTTCTGGCAATGTATAACGATTACTACTGGTTACTGCCAGCCTCTCCCAACCTCTGCTAGCTTCTGCTGGCCTCTGCTGACCACCGCTTATATTTATGGCAACGTACAACGATTACTACTGACTACTGCCAGCCTCTGCTGACCACCGCCAGCATCTCTTGGCCTCAGCTGGCCCCTACCAGCAACACCTGACGTCAGCTTCCCTCTGCTGACCACTGCTGACCGTTGCTGGCAACTTCTAACATAATACATATGTATCAAAGCTTTGTATAATGTAAATCTATGGCAATAAATGATATAATTTCAAAGAATTCTATGTGTTCTCATCATTTTTACCTTTCTTTTCCTCTCCAAATCAATCCCATAGTTATAAGAAACCGTTTCCCAGTTAAAACTTTAATCCTAAAGTGCCGTGAACATTCCCAAAATGCTGGTGATCTTGATCCACTTTTGAAACTGGGTCAAGGCCAAATCCGGATTCCCAAAGTGCTCAGAACGTTTTATGAAATGCCGGTGACCTTGACCTACTTCCTAAATTGGGTCAAGGCCATCCGGATTTCCATAGTGCCCTGAATTTCCCTAAAATTCGAATGGCCTTGAGCTTGACCTTGATACACTTCCTAAATTGGGTGAAGGCCATTCGGATTTCCAGGGTCCGGAATTTTTCCAAAATGTTGGCGGCCTTGCGAAGAGGTTGACACGCATCTTATAACTAAGGGAATAATTTGGAGAGGAAAAGAAAGGTAAAAAATGATGAGAACACATAGAATTCTTTGAAATTATATCATTTATTGCTATAGATTTACAATATACAAAGCTTTAATACATATACATCAGGTCAGCAGTGGTCTGCAGTGGTCAGCAGGGGTCAGCAGTGGTCTGCAACGGTCAGCAGAGGCCAGCGGAGGCTGGCAGAAGTCAGTAGTAATCGTTATACGTTGTCAGAAATGTAGGCAGTGGTCAACAGAGGCCAGCAGGAGCCAGCAGAGACTGGGAGAGTGTGGCAGTATTTATTGTTATACGTTGGCAGAAGTATCAGGAGTGGTGAATAGCAGTCAATAGATGCCAGTGGAGGCCAGCAGAGACAAGCAGTGACCAGTAGAAACATGTAGAGACCAGCAGAAGCTTAGTTAGTTATTTCAAAACATATCGAGGAAAATCATTATTAATTAATTTCTGCAACAATTGATTCATCTGTTTTGTTCATATTATAAAAATAAGAATACTTCTTATTGAAAAATGTTACAGCGTGCACGATAGTGGCAAAGAGTGGACTCTCATTTTAATTTATTAATTTTCAATCGTAAAGTATTTTGATTTTGAAAAATCATATTAATAATATACTTTGTTTCAACAATTAAAATGTGACCGGAGGGTCTTAAAACGAGTATTTCCGTAAAAAAAATTTCACAAAATTTTTTTTTCATTTTGGTACTTTGCTTATATCAGCCTACATAGATCGTAAAATAAAAATGTCTGGGCAGTCGAGATTCCAAATCGTATGCCGTTGACGCGAGGTCCGATTTCAGTTGTTCAAGAGCGAGAAGGCAAACGTGCGCCTTTCTCTCTCGAGTTCCACGAGACGGTCCGAAATTACTTCGGGCAGCTTCGGAGAATCGAGAAAGAGGGCCTATGTCAGTTTGCTTTGTCGACTCTACGAGTTCACGTACACGTGATCTAGCATAGTGTGAGAAAATGGAATAAGGTGTCCCCGGTGCACCCGGGGCTCCATCCAACATCTCTGAGCGGATGTCGAAAATTGTACTTGAAAAGTCGTGAAGTTAATTAGTAAGATATTCTAAACAAGCTAAACAAATTATACGCGTGCAAGTGAAATTAGGGATCTCTAGTGAAAGCGGTGTGTGATTAACGGAAGAGAGCGACGAAATAAACGTACACGTGAGATCGATATTATATTTATATTTATAAAATTATTCATCATTAGAAAGCACATATGATCTATCTATATGACGTAATTCACTACGCACACACGCGTACAAGCGTGCCTACGAGCGCACGCACGCACAAAGAGAAAAACACGCGGAGCCGCACGCACACACCGTGAAACCATTCATACAATTTCCGTCCGCTCGCTCACGCAGGCGTAAGCCACACACATACACACACGCGCGGGCATACATACACATGTACGTACGCGCGTGCACGCGTGCAAATAGAGAGAGACGGGGGAAGCGCGCGCGCGCGCGCGTGTGCATGCACACGTATATCCGTGTGTGAACGGCGACGCGCGACAACAAACGAGTATACGTGTCTCTATGTATGCACGTGTACATATTCAGAGTACCTCACGAATGTGTTTTACAGGTTCTTTTTACGCAACTTTGTAACTGCTCGAATTGGAAGAAAGTGCGACAGAGATTTACCAGGCCAGTGTTCATCACAGAGTAATAAGAATCGCATCGTGTTTCTCGCGAGAAAATATCATCCTTGTTTTCGTTCATTTTCTACACACACATATATTTATATATATATATATATTCATTTCTGATTTTTCTTTTTTTTTTTTTTAATGCTTTTTTTACACTGTTTTGTCATCCACCATCGTTCGTTTCCGCTATTTTCGTTCTCGTGCGTCTTGAATCGTATTCGAAGACTCAATTCTTAGGATCTAAATTGGTATCATCGAGAACGTTAACGTCCCCTTGCGAATAAAATTAAACGCTACGAAGTTTGTAAAATTGTTACTAAAAAAAAAAAAAACAAATTTATCCTCTCGGTCACTCGTCTAATAAAAAAGATCGTTCGACTCGGTCGACAACGAGCTTTTTAAAGCGTTCGCGTAAAATGAAAACTGAAAAATCGAGGAAGGGAGAAAGGAGAAGGAGAAAGGGAAGAGGAATCAAAAAAGTGAACACCGGGAATCGGGAGAATGGTAAAATATCGTGATCGACGATATGCAAATCGGATAAAGCGTCGTTCGAAGAAGGGGACGCCGTCCGCGTGAAAAAAAAAAAGGAAATGCTTATAACGTGTTCTGGCGCGTGACTTCCGTCGGCGTGGATTTCTGATCGGAACTCGTCGAGACGGAGCAACATATTTCCGCGTTTTCACCTCGTTGCAATTTCTTCCAACCTTCCTCCGTCGTTTTTTACTTTTATTATTATTATTTTTTTTCTCATTTAATAATCGGTAAACATCCTGGAAAAATAAGACACTTGCGTGAGATTTCTTTCATATGCATGTTATATATACATATATACACACCATTCTTTTGTATCGCGCGGCGTGTGTATATACATATAAACGTGATTAGACTTTATTTCTTATTTCTTTTATCTCTTCGTTTTTTTTTCTTTTTTTTTTGTCCACGATTCGATCAATGTAACAACAAATGTCATTTAGAAGTAATTTTTAGTGTGCAATCTCTAAGACCCAAAGGAGAATTACCGAGCTATGCAAAATAGAAGATTGATCTCCATTTTTTTTTCCTCACACGTATACATATATAAATATACGTAAATTTATATACCGATTATATATAAATAACCGGGCGAATCAGTTATATATAACACGCTATATAAATCCCTATACATATATATACATATACATTTATACAATATATATATATATGTATATAAAGGTACTCTTACTATTGAATAGAAATATGCATATTTCAAGTGTTCAATAATATCAATATCGATATAATAATAATTATTATAATAATAATAAAATAATAATATTAATAATAATAATCCTTAATATTATAATAATATAGTAATTGCAACAAGAATATTGGTAATAGTGATAATGATGATGTCAATAATAATAATAATAATAATAAAATAAAATAATTATAATTATAATAATAATAATAATAGTTATAATCATATTAACAACAACAAGTATTCTTTGTCACATTTTGGTTGCAGATTCTTACAATCACAAATATATTATTCATAAATGTAATAGTCAAAAAGGATGTTAAATTAAAGAGAATACGTGATAGTGCTCTATTTGTTTTTTTTTTCTTTCCTTCATCTTCATCCTGTGTACAATAATTAAACCTATAAATAGTTCTATGTTCAACAGCCAGTGGTATAGTAAAGTATACCTTTGAGGTACCTACGTAGTTTCTTTCTTTCAGTGATACCAAATACAACACTGACGGATCACGTGACGATATCCCCGACGATGGGGGGCCAAACTCCCGCGGCCGTCAGTCTATCGTGTCGGTATTATACTTATATATATATATATATATTTATATATTTATATTTATATATTTATACTCGAATATCGTCCGAAGCTGGGATGCCCCGATAAAGGCTTTCTCTCTTCCTTTTATATATATAATCTACAATTCATATATATATAAAATAAGATAGAGCGTCGCCGCGCGCTATCGGGCCACCTGTGCTCCCCGCGCAACCGTCCTTTTCGTCCTTAAAACGACCTCTGTAATCGGGTTCGTCGTTCCCACGCGATCGACTCCCCAAATTCCATTATCCACCGACGATTCGCATGATATAATTCCACGGAGGCCTTCGAATCCGCCCTTTTGAAAATCTCGACACAGGCAAATTGGGAAAGCCGGAAACTTTTGGTCCTTTCGAGAGTTTCATTTCTCTGCGTGTGTTTGTGTGTGACTGTGTGTGGTATCTTTTTTTTCTATTTTTGTTTCTTTTGTTCTTCCCGTCTTGTCCGGTGGTTGGTGATCGGTAGCGTCTCTCTCAGCACGAAAAGGCCCCGTGGTGCGGGGGCGCGGCGGCCTGCGCGGCTTTTTTTTTTATCGCATTGTATTTGGTGATACGTATCTGAATACTGACTTCGTGTGTTGTAGCATTACATATAATACAATAGTATCCAATTACGTATAGAGTTGTAATATGCGGTGTGTGTGTGATCGATATTCGTCTCGTTCCTCTTCAACCCCTCGACGTCCTCCCCCCCCCCTCCCCATTCCGATTTTTCTCTCCCCGCCGCCAGGGCATCTTCTTTTATGTTCAAACGTATATTACATAGATTCCTTTACCATGCAAGGCGTTGGCCTGCAGTCACTCAGACAACAGTTTCTGTAACAGCGACGACTGGTTCACCTTCGGATCACCTCGAGCCACTTCCTCCATAGAAGTCTGGAAACGAGTTTCGTTCGATTATCGAAAAACCGGAGATGAAAAAATAGATCGAAGACGAGAGACATCCCTTTCTCAAGGGGGTTGCTCGATCGATTCAGAGCGTAGATACGGGGTGGACAGACATCCTGAACGACAGAGATGGACTACATTTTATTATATAAATAAAAATTTCGTTACTCGTCGAATAAGAATTTTAATTATAGAATTAAATGTTTCGCTGTTCAAATAAACTGGTACACGTTGATTGTTCGAATTTAATTTTGACAGTGACAAGATTTTGAAAACGTCGTGTGTTCGACAGTATTTTTTTCTAATTATTGTCATTAGCGACTACTACAATTTTAATTTTCCATTTTCGATATCGAATCTCACATACATTTTACAAATACAGGTAATCCTTCTATAACACGGTAGATAGGTTCCTAGAAAATGCCGTGTTGTGTGAAACCGTATTATATGAGACCCAGAGCCAGTAAAAAAAGGAGAGTTACGTTTCGAAAATTTATTAAAAACCAATGTTTTTTTTTAATACTACATAAGCAACTTAATTTTTATGAAAAATATAAATATATGTATAACACAAAACAAAAAATATTATTCTAATTTAACGCAACCTTAATTTAATAAATTATAATTTGCTTATATTTTTCCATGTAAGGGTGTTCGGCCATCCCTGGGAAAAATTTTAATGAGGGATTCTAGTGGCCAAAATAAGACGAAAATCAAGAATACCAATTTGTTGATGGAGGCTTTGTTAAAAAGTTATTAACGTTTAAAATTCCGCCAGTAATGAATTTTTTTTCTCGAAAATGCGCAGGATTTTGGAGGTATATCTATTCACCAAAAGTGATTGCAATTGACCCCCGCAACCGAAAATAATTTTTCCAGAACGATTTGAAATTTTTTAATTTAATTGTTAATAACTTTTCACAGAAGACTCCATCAACAAATTAATATTCTTGATTTTCGTCTTATTTTGGTCTCTAGAATCCCTCGTTAAAATTTTTCCCAGGGGTGGCAGTACACCCTGTAATAGCAATCAAGGTGTACAAAAGTACATCTTTATTAATTTAACAAAAATCGTGTAAAATATGTAAAAGAGTATGAATTTATAAATTATAAATCGGATGAGAAACATTCAATTTGTAAACTAAAAACTATAGGTTCTCGCTTTTAATTGTACTGAATTATAGTTACCATACGACCGCACCAATTTATCGAAAAATAATGTACGTCAAATGTTGGAAAATAAAATGTCACGATCCGTATTTTGTAAAATCTTTTATCACTTATTTCAGCAGTATCTGTCCACAGCCATCTACATTCTGAAGACCCAAAATTTTTGGGGCATTTTGTATCGGAACCGATGCGTTTCTGCTGGGCACGTGTGAGTACTCAAATATTTCATAATTATTGATCCAAAATTAGTCACAACTCGATTAATACAAACTTTACCAAGGCCAAAAGCAATCAACGAAACTGATCGTAACGAAGTTTGTTAATTTCAATATTAAAACATATCACGCTACTAGCTTCGATTAAATCGTAATAATTACATTCTACAAAATGAACTGCGTTATTCTTCAAATTAGAAAATTATAATGTTTCGAATTCAATCGCGTTCGCAGATTGAATTCGAAACATTCGCCGAAACCAGAATTTCAGATAAAGGTATACGTCAAAAATCACACTCGAGGGTTAAGCTCTGGAAAATAAAATAATATAAAATGGAAATTTAGGAACCAAAGAAACTGAAATAAATGCATAAGAGTTTCATTGAATTGTACAAATAAGCCGAAGATCCTAAAACGAGTGACGTTTGTCGAATTTTGAATACTCACACCAGTCTGCTTATACAAGAAGCAAAAGTAATCAAATTTAAAAAATTAGAAAGAAAAATTAGAAGAATTTTGACGAATCCTCGATCGAGTCGATCGACATCGTTCCAACGAAAACGCTTCTGCGAAGGCAAACGCATGATCAAAACTCAAAAAGAAAATTTTACTGAAGCCACATATTCGCTACACATCCAATGTTCCAATGCACACCAAAGGCCGCTAATCTAGTAATGTTTAAATAAATAAATAAAAAAAGAAGAGAAAGAGAAGTTCATTTGGCAGTCGTGAATTGGCGACGACCTTTACCGACAGGACACGAACAAAGAGAGAAAATGACGATCAATGTTTGTTTCTATAAAAGCAGTTACCTTTGCAAAACGTTAAGCTACGTTCAGAATCGTGAAGGTGTCGAGAGATTGCAAAAGGCTCGTGCCACGGCTTATGGCAGGCACAGTCTTTCGACCAAATTGCTAGTGAGTGGTCACTAACTGGCGGTTAGGTTGTACAAATAATAATTGTCATCGAAAGTGATAATAATTTCAAAAATGGATATCAGCTAACCGTCTTGTCGTTCCACGAGAATTTACATTAAAATTGTTCTAATTGTAGTTGGACCGAATACTTATAAACGAGGGATTGCAAAATTTAAGCTCTGTTAACACTTAGCCAATGGAACATATAAACAATGACGTTTACGAGTAATTCTCAGTTACTGTTTACTTTACGATCGCAAATTTTTGTAATTTTATTGCATTAACGCTTTATTGCACAGTTTAACTGAAAGGGAATCAAATGAAAATAGTCCCTAATTTATTTACTTTTGTAATTTGCGAATCTTCTTTGATTTAAGTAAATCATGCACTTGCGTAATCTAACCTGTTTTAATTTCATTTTCTTACTTTTGGTATTCTTTACTAAAGTAGAAGATATCTTTCACTGTAATTTTTTACACGAATTCTGACAAAGTTAGCTTTCAGGTAAATAACGTAAAGGATCATTTGATATTGAACAATTAATTTTATCTTTAATAATAAGAAAATTATACATAAAATACGAATTGGGGATTTGAATTTGGTGCACTTTATATCTACTTTATGTATTTTAAAAAATTCAGAAACAAATGTTCAACAACGTAAAAATTATTACGGTTTGACTAAGAGTGTTCTTCGCATGGGCGGCCATTTTTAACCAACACATACCGGAAGTAACGTCTCAACGTCCTTCAGCCAAGTGTTAACTGCGACTAATTAATGATCAAATGTTCTAATCGGCGAATATACTATTTGGAATTATTCGAAGTTCGGGCTTTTAGAGGCCGCCGCGTCTTCTTCGACGGGCTTCCGGTCCAGGAACGGGCAAACTTCTTATCCAGATGAAAATGTAGAAAAAGTGAGAGGCAAACGTAATTTTGACGCGTTATTTTATCGATAATAAAATTACAATCTTAATTGTTATTGATTAATCACTTTCTATAGTTTTTGTTTGTTATTAGTATAAAATTCTGCCCGTTTCTGTTTCCGGTTGGTCGGTGACAAACTACTATGAGAGTTTTGTCTCGTGCAACGAGAACGATCAGCTTCCAGAGAAAATCGTAAGAGCGACGCGCTTGGATGTCTGTTTGGCTCACTGTGAAAAAGCATTACAATACTTAAAATGTAACGTTACACGATACAACAAGATGGCAGTGTGATTAATAGTGATTACTTCGAATGAGCTGAAGCTTACGGCACCATCACCCTGCAGATAAGAACGTGTCTCCGGCACCGACCACATTTATGCTCGAAACACGAACGACGAAGAGAACTGACGTGTCCTCCATTTTGTTAGAACACGACGTCGTTGAAAGGAAATGACGCCAAGCGTGCTTTGACGAAATAAATATTATTTATTTTCTAGTTTTTTTCGATCGAAAGTACGTCCTTACAGGAATATACTAATATAATTTGTTTTTTTCGTCGCGATGCGATCATTTTGTTTATTATTAACACTGAATAATTCTAATAATTTTGGAAATTATTTGAAAATTATTGTACATGTGCACTGCCACTCTAAAGCCTCGTAAATGTTCAATTGCTTACTAACACAATTACCAGTTGTTTCGTGTTAATTATTCGGCTTGGGAATATGTAGTTCAATAATTTAATTACTTTAATTAGTTAAAAGTATAATCGAAAATAATGGATATAAACATATTCTTTCAATTTATTAAGTTTCTGAAAACCACATTTATCGTATTTCAACATGAAATAAAATATATTAGAATAAAAGGTATAACAAATTTAATTAAAACGGTAGCAAAACTCATGGAGTCTGTAATCAAGTAATGCAGTAAACATACCGGTGAGAAAGAGATTTTAATATCTGTATTATTTTAGTAAACGTACCGGTGAGAAAGAGATTTTAATATCTGTATTATTTTAGTAAACTTTCGCAGATATTAAAATCTTTTATCATGCACTCTCTTTATTACATAAAACAGGAAATAAATATTCTTTTAAATCTTCGGTTACTTTGACAGGTTTTCATAAAACTATCCTAAGACCCCGAGCGGCAGTGTAGATTTAGACTTAACAATAACGAATTTTGCCATTTATTTATTATTTAGAAATGAAAATATCAAGTCAGTTTGTAATTTCGTGTGCATCAATGTTACTGTTTAATTGACGAGTCATTTCTTCCGTTTGCTCTGCTTAATTAGCATAACTACCGTGTTACCAATGTTATTACATGTTGATAAAAAATTATTTACAGAAACGGGTATTAATAATCAGTATAAGCATCGCATTCTCTGCTGGTTATTTTTTAACAGACAGATAATCTATACTCACAGTCTTATGATACAGAATTTTTTAACATAGAAAAATTTCCAAAGTAATAATAATTAATTTGGTAATATTTTACTCCAAAACAGGTATCAGTCTTAATACTCTAACGACTACAAAACATTATTGATACTGGTAAAGAATAGCAAGAATTAAATATACTGGTATATTAATGACTACAGTAAGTAATGTTGTTTTTCTCTTTGTTTCATATATAATATTTTGAGAAATGCGCACGAATTTACGAATTAACCTGACAATTTCTGTTATTTAAAATATGCGAAAGTATAATACTGTGACCGTGGTAAAAAATATTTATAAAAAATGTGTGACCTTCAATTGTTTTAATTTTGGGAGGGGAGGTCTCTTTTTCAATACAAATTTTTGAAAAATTCTATTAAAAGCTTCGCAAAATAAATAATTTCAATTGAAATTCCCAATTTTCAAATGTTAATTCAACAGTATTTATGTCCGGTTTCTTATTTTACTGGATTTCAACAAAAATAAAAAATTGTTATTTTAAACCGACTCTACATTTTCTACCATTGAATATTTCATTTTTCCCACCTTCTTCATTCATTACTATTTTCGCCATTATTTTTCCTATTAATTAATTCATGCACCGCGAATCGATAAACTGAGAAATACTTAAACGAGTTTCCAACGAACGGAATTACATTCTTGCTTTAACAAAATCCATGAATCGAACGTTTCAATTATTTCAAGACAAAGGAGATCCTGTTTGGCATTAGTTCTGTGCACGAACGACAAGAAATGCGATGTTACTTGCAGTTAATACAATCTAATCAAAATAAAAATTAGTTTTACGTGTAAAGATGATGGCACTATAGTGACCGCGATTACGAGCAACAAAACGTTAACACGTTTTATTACAATCTTCTAAACGATCGGCTCTCAACGATTCGAGTCGAATTCTATCGTCTGTTGACAGTGATATTAGTCGATCTGACAGAGTTGTTTAAAATAATAATAATATCTACGCATTTGGCCTCGTGAAATGTCACTGAGTGTAAAACTTGGACAAAATTTCGATATTCTCAATATTCTCTAAACAGAATTTCGAATATTCCCGGCGCGATCGACGAAGAATTTGGAAGAGGAGAACCTACGAATTTCTTCAAAACTTATCCCTTTCGCGACCATAATACTCGACTGAAAGGCATACATCGGTATTAAAAACGCGTATCGAGTTCACGATCTTTTTATTTAGTCCAAATAATGGAATTCTGCGGAACCGGAACAAGCTGGATAGAAAAACGATTAAAAATACGACATAAGAATGCTTGGAAAAGTATGAGTCATTTTCAGTGAACGGTAGTCATCCCTACTACTGTAATGTAACCTGATCTGGGCTCGAATATTATACATAATGCAAGATGAAACTTTTTTATTTTTGTTTTTTTTTAAATGAAACTTTTACCAATGTATTTGCGAGAGTTTCCCGATTAAAAAAAGACCAAACACAATATAATTTGTTTTTAACCTACTTCTAATAGAGTATAAAATCTCATTAAATATGCAAATATGATGCTGATGGAAGTTACATCGTATTTGGTTTTATTTGAACCAGAAAAACCTCACAAACATATTAGTAAAGGTTCCATTAACAAAAAATAAAAAATAAATAAGTTACACATTGTATTTTTATTTATCGTTCGTTCACTGTCCTTTTCTACGTTCGGCATGATGCAAAGCCGAACGCCGTAGCTCGGCTTGTGCCTTTCTGAGAACTGAGAAGTAAACAGTCCCGTGTTTCTCGAAATTATCAAAAATTTGCTGCATTAACTTCTTCTTTAACCTCTTAGGCACGGCTGCAAAGACAGTATATTCTGTCTGTATATTGTTGACACTGTTATAAAATGTTGTGAAGGCAAAAATAATGTGAAACAAAACATATGAAAACGATCACTTAATTCAAACAGTGAGCGTGTAAGCCACTAGAGTGAGCCACTATAGTGGCGCGTCCTTCAAAAAGATGACACCCGCGAAAGCCATTACAGTGGCGCCATCGTGCCTAAGAGGTTAAAGATCACCTATTGGCCTATTGACTTCCATTCTAATATGACGTACAGAAAATGAATTCCATTTAATCGTTCAGCTTACGTTATCATGCTGAAAAAAAGATATTACACATTCATCGACCTAATAATTGCAATTACGATCAGAGATAGCGACGATCGATTAATAATAAAAGAAAAATTTATTTCTAAATTTTTGCATCACCGTAACCCATACTTCGAACTACATACGCTTCTAAAATGCAGGAACGACGGAAAGGGAAAGAATAATCTAAGAAATCGCGACAAACGAAAAAAACTGGCGTATCCTTCGTACGTCCACCCATGTTCTGAATCGCACAAGGTGGACGGAGCTAGAGTCCAACGACGGCCAAAGAATATCGTTTGATCGAGAGCTCTGTACAGATCCGGGAGCAGAATAAACGAGAGAGAAAGAGAAAGTGAGAAAAAAAAAATCTGACTGGAAAAAAAAAACTGTCTCGCCGGTGCAGGTTTTTACCAGATGTAAATATGCATCGTACGTACGAATAAATAAACAATGTAATAACGACCAAGTGACGCATGCAAAGAGAGCGCTAAAATACCCCCTACAAGTTTTACGCTCAGTGCGTACAGAGAGAAAAAAAAAATCATTAACATTTCGTGCACAATAAGTTCTGAAGCCAAGCGAAGAAGGGAAGACATAGCATACAAAATCAAATAAAAAAGAAAAAAAAAAATTATAGATAAATAAAATAAATATATAAATATATGTATATGCATGTGTATAAATATATATGTGTATATATCTACGTATATGTATACATATATATATATATACACACACGTAAAAGTAATTGTCGGAAGGGTCTTACCCTGGAGGACGAGGGGGCACTTCCGGCACTCCCAATGGCCCAGCTCTTGGCAGGGCCATCGCTAACCACAGCCTCACCTAGTTAGGACATTGTAACAGTAGGCGTTACCACCAGTCTTTATTATAAATAATGCCTTTTATTACATTGAAGCACAGGTATGCGTGTCGCGCGCCATTGTCCTGCGCATGGCAGACACGGAGGTATACTGTTTCGCACGAAATACTAACGACCATTTTTTTTGTTTTTTTAATTTCTTTGTCGCGTAAACAATCTAACTCTAAACTGTTTTATCGATTCGGAAAAAGTACTGTCAACTCGTCGTCCGAAATGTTCGTCTTGATCGTCGATGTAACAGACGCGAGGTAACCCTTTCGCTCGTGACATGTTGAATTTGGAACAGTTATTATATTTCTTTGTAAACTGAGTGCAAAGCAGTTTTACCTGCATTTCGTACACGATATATTACGTCAGGATTAATAGACTACCGGTCGGTGAAGTGTTAATATCATTAATCACTCGATCACGATGTAGTAAATTTAACGACGTTAAAAAGTTTGAAATAATTCAATGTACTTATGCACTGAAAATCAATTTTTTATCTGAAGAAACGAATAATCACGAGCGAAAGAGCCAAGTTGTCTATAGGCACGTTGGTTGGTATATTTAGAGAAAATTAATGTAGTATCGAATTGTCATATTTTTATACCGAAAACACAATTAAATATTGGAGGAAAAACATTAACGCGGGGTCGGCTGTATTTGTTATTAAGTCTTGTAAGTTTGCATTAAAATTTTTGCAAAATTGTTATACATCGTATCGTACTATAAAAATAGTGAAATTAATCAAACTATCGGTTGGTGAACATAACTTTTATATTACACGTTAAAGTTCCTGATGCAAAAACAGTTCTATCGGAACTGTTTACTGCTTCCTTTTGTAAAACATTCGAGTATTTTTTAGATATACAAAATTTAGAAAATTCTATACGTCTTATATTCTCATGATCTGAATAACTTATTTACTCTGATGACGAGTAAGATTTTACACATTCTTTTAATATTATTGTCCATAGTGACAAATTTCAAGAAATAGCTGATGTTATAAAAAAACCAATGAAATAATTATACATCATATATCATTCTACTACGGTAAACAGTACAATTGACATTGTTTTTGTTCGGCGAACGAAACATGATCCTTTTACGATTAAATCGAAGAAACGTCTCTTGAAATTTGTTACGTTAAAATTTTTACATCAAAATAAATTCAAATTCTGTACAATTTTTGGAGATTTGCTATAATACTTTTTCACAGCTTCCAGCATTTTAGACGCATGCGATGTTTACGATGCGTAGAAATTACATTACTGTGGTTCGCGAAAGAGCTGACACAAAAATCCGACAATGCTATGCAAAGGAACATGAAGAAATCTTGTTAGTATCAAGGAATCAATGAAAAACGACTAAAATAATTATACATAATATTTCTGTTCATATTTCGTATCTTTCCAATCCCCTCTACTTTGTCTACACTATGATCAATTAATCGACGCCATTTCATTTTAAACACTTAACGACAAATGTCTTGTACAGTGCGGCAACCATGAAATAATTGAATGAAGTTATTCCTCATGCAAGAATAAGTCGAGATTGTAGGATGAATTTTGTTCGTAGCAGCTTTGGTTTACGAGCAAATGGATTTCGAAGTTCTATCGTGCACGCGTGCACTCAAGTTCAGACGGAATCAACTGGCCACTCAAGGTCACTGAAGCGAGACTCCCACCGCACCGTTTGACCGCCCCCACCATGTATCATCTCCCGCCTCTTAACGCACTCCTGCGAATACACGTTCTCTAATTCCCAAATGGAGAAGCATTTGCGTAAAAGTAAGTCGTATCTGGTATTATTCACGCCTGACGAAGTGGCTTTGAGCGGTCAATCGAATATGATTCGATTAGTTATGAAATTCGGTTCAGCACTTACGATTCCTACTTGACCACCTACTAATTCTATAATCTTCTCTAAAGTCATATACCAATTATTTGCATTTTTGGAGATTGATTCAATTGTATCATCAATATGTATCAATGTTTTATTAGATATAATAATTAGGAAAAAATGTTTTTCTGATTGGTTTTTAAATACTAGTATTTGATGGATTAAGATTAATAAATGTCATGAGTCAATATCAATTGTAATTTTAGTTAATTTCAAATAAAATAATTCGACTTTGAAGTTACATTAATACTTGATAATGATTATACTAAAAATACTATTATTTCCAAAACTATTTCCCATATCATAAAGATATACAGATTATTTTTAACAATAAAGTAATCGTCTTTAAGTATAGTTAAGATAGAATGAACTTCTCATAACTACTTGTTGCTTATTCATCTTGGCATAATATTTCGAAGATAAAAATTGCAAACCTGCAGACACATATTTTCAATTTCTCAATAGGGAAGCAAATTCACATAGTTTAAAAAGCACTACAATTCATGGATGATGTACTTTGAATTCGTGTGTGTAATACAAAGTCAGGAAAAATTCTTATGTAGATAAAAATTACAATTGAATTATGTTTCACGTTAATACAATTTTTCTTTGTGTACATTTAAACTTTATAATTTTGATTAGTATGATACAGTATTAGTTTAAAGATAGATATCATGCTCGACATGACATGCTTCTCATTTGGGGGAGATGAGGAATGACCTTGGCCGGCTAAACAATCCTGCCTCAGCTACAATCAAGTGCACGCGTTCTCGAAGAATTTTCAAAATTGTTTTTCTCAGAAACCAAGCATCGTACGAGTAAAATTTATACTATCGTTTCGACTTATTTCTATACAAGGAATCGACTCCTATGATCTCTAACCATGGTTACCACCCCAATATGTAGAGAAACAATTTCTTTATCGCTTTTTTTTCAACAACTTTGCCTGCCCTCTAGACTGATACGCGACTTTTAAAAGAGAAACCGCAGTCGAATCTCTTTTCTCGACCGACGTACCTGCAGAAGACATTTCAAACGTCAGTCCAAGTGCATCAAGATCGTCCTGAGAAACTTGACCAGAAAGGTTGTTCTGAATGTTGTTAGGTACCCTCTGTTGTTGCTGTTGTTGCGTTCGTGCGCCAACGATCGCTCTCAATTCTTGCCTTACGAACTCCGATGTGCTGCTAGCGTTTCCTGTGACAAAACGAGAAGCGTCCGTTAATGTTTGATACCAACGATCACGGGATCACGATCTTTGCGTTCATTCCGTAATAAATCAACAGCAACGATTACTCGTAGTTACTCGTAGATTTGTGTCTTATGTGCAAGCCATAACGTAAAGTTAGTCAAAGGTACAGGATGAATGCTTTATTACAAAATGCGGTATTTACAATATTGCATTAACATAGTTCGTAACAACTTATCCTGTAACAAACAGTATTGATGTCTGAACCATCCGAGGTTCGCGAGGATTTATGACTTTTAAAGCACGATGAGTATTCTTGATGGTGGAAGAAAAAAAATATAAATAAAATCGCTACTGTGAGACGAAGTTTCGGATCGTTCACTGGAAATACCATTTTAAGCGTAGATTACATAAAAAACAGAGATCCGATAGACATTAACGTAGACTGCGTTCGACAATGTTTAATAACACTGCGTTTAGTGACAATGATTAACCACAAAAAGCTCGATGCACTGTACATGAAAATGCGTCGTTGTTAGTAGACCTCTTTTTTTTTCGTTACTTAAGGACGAGGCGGTTCAGAAAATCATGGATTTACACGGAGACCTACTTAATCTGTACGGATGTACATTAACACGGAGATTGGAGAATGATTAAAGTGACTGGGTATTTTTACTTTGTTACGTTCCACTTCACACGTTACGTTCAAACTTAATTTTCTTTTTCTTGAATCATTCTGACCACCAACGATACGTTGCAGTAGTTTTATAATTACTCGAGCGTTCTTTTTTTTTTATAAATAGCATTTTGCTCTTGCATTCGATAAAAATACAGGGTGTTCGGCCACACCTGGGAAAAATTTAATGGGAGATTCTAGAGGCCAAAATAAGACAAAAATCAAGAAATATAATTTGTTGAGGCTTCGTTAAAAAGTTATCAACGTCTAAAAAAGTTCCGCCCCTAATGAATTTCTTTCTAGAAAGTGGGTAGGATTTCGGGGGTAGGTCTATTCACCAAAAATTATTGTAATTGACCCCCGCAACCGAAAATAAGTTTTCCAGAAAAATTTGAAATTTTTTAATTTTGCCGAAAAATTTCATACCTTCTCGAATTTTTTTCTCGAAAATGGGTAGGATTTCGAGGATATGTCTAATGATCAAAACTGATTGTAATTGACCTCGCAATCGAAAATAATTTTTTCGGAACGATTTGAAAATTTTTAATTTTGTCGAAAAATTTCATGCCTTCTCGAATTTTTTTCTCGAAAGTGGGTATGATTTCGAGGATATGTTTAATGATCAAAACTGATTGTAATTGACCCTCGCAACCGAAAATAATTTTTCCAGAACGATTTGAAAATTTTTAATTTTGCCGAAAAATTTCATACCTTCTCGAATTTTTTTCTCGAAAGTGGGTAGAAATTCGAGGATATGTCTGATTACCAAAAATGCTTGTAATTGACCCCCGCAATCAAAAATAATTTTTTTCGGAACGATTTGAAATTTTTTAATTTTGCCGTAAAATTTCATACCTTCTCGAATTTTTTTCTCGAAAGTGAGTAGAAATTCGAGGATATGTCTGATTACCAAAAATGCTTGTAATTGACCCCCGCAATCAAAAAAAATTTTTTTCGGAACGATTTGAAATTTTTTAATTTTGCCGTAAAATTTCATACCTTCTCGAATTTTTTTCTCGAAAGTGGGTATGATTTCGAGGATATGTCTAATGATCAAAACTGATTGTAATTGACCCTCGCAACCGAAAATAATTTTTCCAGAACGATTTGAAAATTTTTAATTTTGTCGAAAAATTTCATGCCTTCTCGAATTTTTTTCTCGAAAATGGGTAGGATTTCGAGGATATGTCTAATGATCAAAACTGATTGTAATTGACCTTCGCAACCGAAAATAATTTTTCCAGAACGATTTGAAAATTTTTAATTTTGTCGAAAAATTTCATGCCTTCTCGAATTTTTTTCTCGAAAGTGGGTAGAAATTCGAGGATATGTCTGATTACCAAAAATGATTGTAATTGACCCCGGCAATCAAAAATAATTTTTTTCGGAATGATTTGAAATTTTTTAATTTAATTTTTTAATAACTTTTTAACGAAGCCTCAGTCAAGAAATTGATATTCTTGATTTTCGTCTTATTTTGGCCTCTAGAATCTTCCATTAAAATTTTTCCCAGGGTTGGCCGAACACCCTGTATATTATGGAAGATGAAAACTAATAAAAGAATTTAACAACGTTCATAAGTTGAAATCTTGTATGAACATTTTTTATATCGATCCAGTATAAGAGACGAGAAATATTTAATTTTATTAAAGAAACACAAACATTTTTGTCGGCATTGATCATGCTCCAATTATAAAATATCACTAAGTGGACAATTCGCAAACGTAAAAATAACCTGTACGGATAGACAATGATTGTGAGTTGGCCGAAGATTAATAAGGGAACACAACATAAAAAACATAACGGAATTGCGTGAGACAACAAGCATAAAAAAATTAAACATAAATCCCGTAAAACCAAAGTGCGATAGAAATGAAGAGATTACACCGGATTCCCGATGCCGACGTATATTATAGACTTTTAAAAACAATTAGTAATATAAAATAAATATAATTGAATTTTTATTAAAAAGAAAAACGATATCAATCATGATATAAATAAAAATCGTTATTCTACTGCAAAAGTTACTTTGGAAAATATTTTCATAACGAAACGAGAAATAAAATAAAACGCTCGACTTTCGACTAAATATCGTACACCCGATCGACAAGCACAATTCTGGAGAGTGAATGGATTTAAAAAAATAAAACACAGTTCAACATTTAGGTTCTACGAATGACATAATGATTAAATGATAACGGTAGTTGCGAACAGTTCGTCCTGCACGTTAAACAACGTACCGCCGAATCGTTATTGCTAAATCACGATCGTCACATCGATACAAGAAATTCAGTCTTACGATATCGAGGCAGCAATACGTATTAGTTTTTAACACAGATACCACATGTGGTGCAAGTGACAGTGACGCTAATTTACGTGTTCCGGGTGTGCCGGAGGTAGTCACTAAACAGTGCGTACATGATCCGAACCGGAAATGGGCAAATTACCATCGAAACGTGCAATACTTAAAAGTTACATTTTCTTCTGCAACGAGCATTATTTAAATTTTTCTACATGCTTTCTTTCGCGAATGTAAAAAATAATTATATTTTTTTATTACTTTACAACCATTACTTAATTCAAAATATTAATATATAAAAAAAAGAAAAGTAAATAACTTTCAAACGTGATTGTAATAAGCAGAGCAACTTGTATAATTCAGTGGGAAAAGTTTATTTTGCGCCTGAAAGCAAGTCGAACTTATAACAGAATGTTAACAATCTTTTTTCATTGGTAATATTTTTAGTAAATGTAAAGAAATACGATGCCAGAAATGACGTTAAAAACATTGTTTTCCAATATTTTATTATGAGTATGAATTTCAATAGTCAAGAATATGTGGACACAACAGTATTACCTCACTAACTGCCGCTATTTCTGCCTCGCTACTTGTCGAGAAATTATCCCCACTCTCGTCTCGATATACTTGAACGTAAGTAAACCAGTCAGAGAGAGTTAACAGTATTTAATAGCTGGAATACTTTCCTCCCTCGTTAACTGTCACGACTCGAACTCTAACCTGCGACACTTAGCGAAGCAACACTGTATATTCAAGCAATTTCGCAACTTTTTTTATCGCGCTAAATTTATCTACAAAAACGAAGCTTTTTACAAAACAAATATATTCTACCATTTACTTTCAGGCGCAAAATTATAATCTTTCCGATTGGGCAGTATAAATAAAGTTTGTAAAAATATATGCTACGTTTGATTTGGGAACATTTTGCCCGCTTCCGTTTCCAGTCCACCTTAAACAGTACGGTGATCTTAACGCATACGTATCACAAGAAAGGTACCTAATAAAAGATATGGTACAAAGGACAGTCTTTCCTACGTGACTTATCTACTATGCTGTTACATAAGTACATCGGTGTCTACAATCACCATAGGAAAGTGTGGTCTCTATATATCGCTAAAAAGAAGTAGAGTGCAATCGAACATCACGTTTGTATCGCTGGAATTAGTGTGAGAGAGGTGTACATCGTAGATGGCGATGAGGTTGTATTATGTTACATCACAGTCCGTAGGAACACAGGCGATCGATTTTTCTCAGAGAAACCATTTTTCTCTAACGCGATTGCAAAATGTCGACCTTCGACGCTTCTTCGTTCACCGAACGATAATTCAACGAGACGAACCTTTGTCGTTCTTTCGTCTAACAAAGGACTGACATTTTGCTTCGTTAGGAACACGTATAAACTGTTATTCACAAAATGAAAGGACATCTGGTGATAGACCATGGAACTGTTGGAGTTAATTTACAATCAATGATGAGTGTTTCTTTGCTTTCACTCGATCGCGTTTAAAAGATCTGAATGTCTCGCGTGAACAAATAATTGCAACGATGTTGTAGAACATGATTTCATATTTCTAGCGTCGAACATTGTTTAAACAATTCTGATAGGGAAATCAGATGGCAATATTTTTCTCTTGGTTGAAAATAGAAAGTTTTTTTATCTTAAACAGATATCCTAACCTATTCAAAGAAATAATGCAACTACTACATATTTTAAAATAGATTTTTCTATAGATATTACTGCCACTAGGCTTTGGTTTCTGAGATATTTGTAAAAAAAAGATTGCTACTATTAAACTATTTCAAGGCACCGATGAAATCAAATATGTTTATTACACTTGAAAGAAAATGGAACTCAACACATTCACTGCCGGATGAAAATCATACAATATTCTGCATTCTAAATTACATAACCTAAAATTTGTTTCGGTACTTATTTTTGTAATTTTGCTACAATTCGTCAATCTTATCCAAATTTCCAAAGTATTAAAAAACTTGCTACTTATGAAAATAACAGTGAAGATAAATATCGAACGACTTACAGTTTAATATGAATGTAAATTGTATAATGTAGATAGTCCAGTGTTTTCTAACCTTTTCTGGATCATGCCCCACACCAAAATTTTAAATATTTTAATGATATGAAAAAAGATGAAGCCTGCTAGCGTAAAAGTAATGGTGATTTTTTAATACCAATGACGAAGGTGACGAATGCAACATAATTTTTTAATTGTCATAAAAATATTCAAAGTTACCAACTATAGGATACACTGCTCTAGTCGAAAACAATTTGTTCCAGAGTTATGTTCCTCTATCTTCAACCAAGAGAGAATAAATTCGCTGCAGCCATTTTGTTTCTATGCAACCGATTCGTATCTTTTAAACAAGATCGCAAGGAAAGAAAATGTGGGATGGTGTTTCTTGATTCGTATTTTCATACTACAAAATGAACGAAGAGTACATTCCAACGGGTATAGTTATGACGTTAGCCGGATTTGAAACTATAAATAAAAGCATCATGCAACAATTAGCACTATTTCGACAGGGTACGCTACTCTGCGTCGACGTCGTCGTCAGGTGTGTGAAAATGACGATCGGAGAAGATAGATGTGAGAGCGAATTATGATGATGGTTGACCTTGCTTGTCGAAACCTAAGGTTCAGATTTGATGGGGGATATCCAACAGATGCTACCAAAAAATAACAAAAAGTAAAGAAGTTAAAAGACGTATTATTTATAAAAACGAAGAAAGCTGTTTGCTTCGTCGAATGTTAGAGAAACTGTAATTTGTATCCAGTAGAAAAAAAAAAAAGATAACACACCATCGATGAGAAAGAGAAAGGAGAGAGAAAAAAGTGAAAGAGCTATGCGTATGAAATGACACGATGAGGAGATTCGAGATCGAAAGGAAGTGGTCCGAGTAACTAAGGTACGATCGCTAGATACTCCAGCAGAACCTGATTAGTCACGCAACAAAACACGCACCACCACTTCCCAAATATAGCATAAGATGCGAAGGAGACTTGCAGGGCGTGATGGGTAGGTATACTGAACGCATGACAACGCTGCTTTCAAGGCTATCATCATATTTACACTGCTCGAATTATACAACGATGGGGGTGTGTTGGTGAGAGAATGATGTGCTTCCATGTACCAAAAAATGTCTCATGCCTTTGCGTCGTTTGGTGATACGAGGTATTTAGATAAGACAGAGCTCGGACAGGGTACGGGGTGAGGGGTGTAATGATGACGAAGTGATGGTCACATGACATTAAATGGTCACATGACTTACCACCCAATTGGTGATTGACAGGATTACCGGGAGGCAGAGGCCTGGCGTCCTGCGTGTCCCCAGGCCCTGACGAATAGAGTGGAACAGACGTCCGATCGTAACAGAACTGATTGCTCTGCATGTCAGCTGTGTTGATAGTATTGGCGGTCGTGTGGTATATCATAGAAGAATGTTGTTGGTTGGAGAAGTGTTGTTGGGTATTCGTTACGTTGTGTTGATTGTGAGTCGGTGTTGCCGGGCAACCCGAATGTGGATGACTAGGTGAAAGAAGAGGTTGTTCCTTACTCACTCCGCCGTAGTGCCGGGGCGAACCGAGCCCACCTGCAACATCAAGCGTGTCTATCTCCTTGTTCCTCGCTTCATAACATACATTTAACACTCCTAGAGGCTTCCTTCCATGCTTCGAGCCGTTGAGAAGTCGACAGCCGTGCAGTCGCATTGAAATTAATAACGCTTTTATCATTAAAATTCCTGATACGCTAGCTGCTCCTTCCTCTCTATGATATTTCGCGTTAATTCTAATCCTACCGGCATAAGAGTTTCAACATCTGTAAGGTATGCAAATTCATTTATACATAATTATAACACCATTCATCTTTTCCTGCTTAACACTTAAACAGAAATTTAAAAAAATTAATCTAGATCTAGATACTAGAAGTGTCTTGTCTAGATACAAACAGATGACATTGATCCTATAATAATGCAACAATTGAAAAGCTTCAGCAACTTCAATGCGTATTTTTCTCAACCTCATTGTTCATACTCTATTGTTCTATGCAATTATTCATTTAGTATTCTCGTTTAAAAATGTGAAATAATGAAAATGAGGGTGGTGCTATAATTATACAATACACACAAATGGCATTTTATGTATTATTAAGTTATAAAATACGTAAAATGTCGTTAATGCTAGATTCACAGAACTCATCAATTTCGGATTTCATAGTTAAGGTTATAGAACTCATAAATATTATTTGTTAGCAATTTATGCCGTAATGATATGAATATATGTCCTAATTAAAAGAACAACCGCATTTTAATGTAACTATAAACATAAAAGATTTCAATGAAATTATGTGCAGTCCATAAATCTAGCGTTAATAAATAAATTTTCTTACAGATCTAAAATCACAACCTGGTAAGATTAGGGTTAAACGCAAACATGTGCCTACCCTTTATAATACACCCTTAATATTCTTTTGTTTTCTAAGCAAGATAAATGTTTTTAATCGTCTTTAGTCCACAGTAATTAAAATGCAACAATTAACAACAATAGGTGCACATATTTAATAGTTTGTTTTTTGAGGAACACTTTACTCAAGTTAAAGTTATTTATAAAAGTAAATAATGATTAATTTTTTATTTAAAAATAATAGGAAAAACTTTCGTTAATTCTATTTAACTATTGAACGGCGATCACATAAGACTAAAGCTGGATCATTTGCGACGTACAATGACGTACGTATTTCTTTCCTGCTCTTAAGAAGCCTGTAGTATGAAATTCCACACAAATTATTTTATTCTCACAATCACGACAAAGAAAAATTACAGATAAAAAAAACGACTAATGATATGCAATTTCGTCTAGTCTAAACGTATTTTTAGTGTTCTCGAACATCAAATAGAATAGAAATAAATATTTTAATCGGTTGTGTACTTACCTATTGCAAACAAATTTTATTTTTTAAATCACATATTTTCCGCTTCGTATTGTATATTTTCATTCGTATCAATGCTTAAATTTAACCGCACCAATATGTAATAATGCAAGTGTCCTTAAAAACGACCTGAACGTTTCATTTGCATTAACCCACGACTAACACGTACTACGCAGTTTGTACACATTACGGTCACATACAAAAAATTAAAAAATATCACATCGTCCGTAATCGAAGATGAACAGTCACGTAACTTTTTATAAAAGTAATTCATAATACACATCTGTATGGCGAGTATAGAGCAGCGTTTCCTAACTTCGTTCCGTGAAAAATTGTAATGAATAATTGAAAAAGTAAAATAAATTTAGCATATCTGTAGCACGCACTACTCTCGTACTATTATAATTTGTAATATTATTGTTTGTTGTGACTTCACGATATGTTATTTTAAAAAGAAAACAGCCAAAGAAGAGTGCAAGTGTTCCGTAAATATATTGTGAGATGAAAAATGTTTCATAATTAAAACAGTTTGGGAAACGCTGGTATAGAGTATTCATAAAATTATCCCGACATAAAGTTTCACGATACGATGCCGATAAAGGAGAGTTATGAGCATAAAGTCAATGTACCTGGCAACTGAGTCGTGGCTGATGGCGTAGATGTGGTCCGTTGCAACCGATATTGGGCAGAAGGATTTGGTGCACCAGGATTAGGACCAGGTGGAAATTGGCTAGCTGTGGGGGATGTAGGTGGGGGGAAGGTTTCCGCCGGAAACGGAGACTGTCGGGCAGACGCTGGCGTTCCTGGTGACGGCATCGATCTTTGCTGTTGCTGCGCGGTGGGCTGTTGTTGCGATCTCACCTGGTTAACGTTGAACAGTCTCGGGGTATTACCATAGTTGCCCTTATAATAAAGAAAAAAAATATGAAAAAAAATTCGGCATTCCCATCATCAAACATAAACAATAACTATGCGCACGGCGTTAGTCCTTTCGCTTATGATTTTTCATTTTTCTTTTTATTGGGCGTTTAGTAGATTCTCGTACCATACTAATTCGTGTTTAAGTCTTGGATTGTCTCATTTTCTATAATTATTACTTTGTACCATCACGTTTATTTCTGATGGAAATTTAACACTTGATATAATTAATGTATATTGAAACGACAGTTGCATGTTTTAATCAAGTTTAAATCATTTCCATTCCTATGTCAATGTGCCAATAGTATCTTAACAGGTCTCGATCCAATCGCCAGTAGACACGAACAAAATATTAATAAAATGCACAATAACAATTAAGATTATTCTCTTTTTCATTTTAAAACATACGAAATTCAATGTGAAAAATTGAACGCGCCATGAGCGAAAGGTTTAAGCAGAAATATCAGTACTTAGAGAGCCACTGATGCACCCTTCCAATTGACTGAACGAAAACGAAAGTGAAGCTTAAAATAAAAATGAAACTACACGACAGGCATTTAGGACACCTTGTATAATTAAACGACACTTGAAACGTACTTGCGTCACTCGTGGTGACAACGGCTGCGGATGAGAGAACGACAAAATACCAGCAGGAGAATGCGGTGAGAGTCGTGCTGCGGCAGACACTTGTTGACCACTGTTGAAATTATTGTTTACAATGGGGCTAGAAATAAAAGAGCCGCGTTACATAACAGCTGAAGGGCAATTAAGAGCGTTAGTTCGAACTGCTTACTGTTGTGGTAACGTTGACGGATGGGAGTACGAGTGAGCAAGTCGGTGACCGGAAGGCATTTGGACGGATCCCCCATAACCTGGAGAAACTTGTGAATCTGGGACACTCGACCGCTAAAACAAACAAATTCAACGCGTTTATTATTTCTGTATCTCTAATCGTTTTAGAGATATAGCTTTCCCCAATTGCGTGGGACATCCAATATACCAAAATACAAAAGTGTAACTGCGTAGTGTATTATTATATTAATAATTTAACAGCTTACCTGTAACGACACGTTAGGTGCAACAGTATTGTTGAGAAGGTTATCAATATTATGAATGCCAGTGGTAATTTGGTCCGTAGCTGTAGCGTTGGAAGGAATGAGTAATTGCTGCTGCTGCTGTTGCTGCAGCAGCCTCTGTTTTAATTGTTGTTGCTGTTGCTGCTGTATCAATTTCGTCCGTTGCTGTTGCAGCTGTAATTGTTGCTGTTGTGTGAATTGAGTGGTAGCCTGCCTGACGCCTTGTTGCGTGTTAAACCTTATCCTGGGCTGTTGCTGATACATCGGTGGTGGCTGGTAACTATGGCTCGTCGTTACAGGTGTAGTGCCCAACTGAAATTTCATCAGTCGAAAGTATTAATTAATGTACGCTGATAAATGTCACAGACTGAACAGAACCAGTGGCAACGATGTACAGTGAAGACTCGATAAATGTCCTCAAGAGCTGTTCCATAAATGATACATTTTTATCCCCACCACTAGGGGGATCCCCCTTGAACCAGTGAGGCGAAGTGTAACCGGAGACGTAGCGGCTTTCTTTAAAAATCTTTATTGCCTTCGTCATCTTAGTTTAAATGTCCCTGCCAGTGTGACCACACTACTGTACAAGAAGAAAGTTTTTTATTTTTTACTTTTTTTTAATAAAAATTTTACTATCATGTGGGGAAGATTTTTCTAATTAAAATGAGACTAAACACGATATAAATCGGCCAATATTTGTTACCATAATATTGAATTAAATATTGTGTACTCGTATCTTCGCAAGGTCAGTGGATTGGTACATTTATCGAACAGTGGTAGCTAACGAAACCCCCTATTTCATAAGTGTTGCAGTTTTTGATCACTTACGAAACGGTGGAACCGTTCCGTTTGAAAATAGCTACCTCCCGTTCGATAAATGTAGCCAGCACCTCGATGCGTCGTTCTTTGATATTTCCGAACATAGAAAAGGACAGCACAAAAAGGATAAATAAAGAGAGAAAGACTCGCAAGTACAATATTTAATTCAATATTATGCTACCAAATATTGACCGATTTATATCGTGTTTAGCCTCATTTTAATCAGAGAAATCTCCCCAACATGATAGTGAAATTTTTATTAACAAAAAGTAAAAAATAAAAAACTTTCTTCTGTGCAGTAGTGTGGTCACACTGACACGGATATTTAAACTGGGGCGATAAATCCGAGTTTCAGTCCCTCTTTCTTCTTTAGCTACTGACTCTTTCTACGTTCGAAGCGTCGGCAAACTACAATCAAATTCGAAAGACGATTCTCCTATTCCGTAAGTGTTGCTGACCGGACCCGGAGTAGCGACATTTATCGAGTTTTCACTGTACTACGATTATTATACGATAATTATAAAAATGCGTGGAAAGGTGTTAACTTACCGCGGTAGAGTAAGCTGGAGGCGTGCCAGGAATTGTTATGGTGGAAGACGTTGGATTTACGGCAGTCTCGCATAACATCAACGACTTCTGTATCGCGTTAATCGCCATTTTCTCGTTCATGACATTGTTTTGTGGTGCTTCAATTACGTCTAGGAGATTTGCTATCGCAGACGACTCTATTGAATAAAAATTATTGTGTCCATGATGATACTACTTTCGCTGTCACGAGTAATACCTTTGTCACCCCATGAATGTGTTAACTTATTACTCACAAATATCTTGGAAACTATTGTTAGAGAAAGCAAAATCGCGAGCATTGCAGTTATGCTGTGACAGCGAAAGTACAGAATTATATTCGGAAAGCGTATTTACTAAGGAGTAATTGTAAGATAAACACATATCAGGAATCGATTATTAAACGAATAGAAAAAAGGTTAATTATGTACCTGTAATAGCTTCATCCGGCACGAACTCTATCACTTGATCCAAAATGTCGGAAAGGTCAGGATCCGACGACTGGTTGTCCCAACTGCTTGGATCAGTGCTTGTTTGATGATACTCCCCGCTGCTTGTGAATTCTGAATCCATCTGACTCATCTGGGATCTTTGTGGCTGCAAAGGAAGAAGAATTGTAAATGGGATTCCCATTAAAATCAGAATGTTATTTAACTTACGCACAATCTTTAGTTTCATATCGAATTAATCTAAATACGAATTACTGTCACGTAACACGTTCATATATTACCGTGTACAAGATTGGCTACTATCGAAATATACTACAACCATTGCAGGCACTAAACTGCAATCCTATACAACTATAATGAGAATAATTTGATAAAAAAAGGAGATTAAACATTTAAAAAGTGACGTAGTAAATTGATCTTAATTATCAAGTACAATTACTAACGATAGTCGAAAAGTGACGATCTTCTAGAAAGAGGTGTTAAGCTACTGAAGAATTATTCTCTTACCTGACTTAGCATATGACTGAGGTAGGCATTGGTTGTTTGACGAGGTAGTTGTCTCGACTGGCTTTGGAGAGGAGTACGCGCGGAAGTTGCAGTTGTCGTAATCGTGTTGTTACCACCAACGGATTGCATGCTGCCACCCGTCCAGGGTTGTTGTTGTTGCTGCTGCTGCTGCTGCTGCTGCTGTTGTTGCTGTTGTTGCTGCTGCTGCTGCTGTTGCTGCTGCTGCTGCTGTTGTTGTTGTTGCTGCTGCTGTTGCTGCTGCTGCTGCTGTTGTTGTGACTGCTGCTGTTGTGGTTGTGATTTCAATCCTAAACGAAGCAGTTTATCCTGCATAACAAACAAAGCGAAGAATTATTTCATCTGATAAGTGTGACAAAATTGGACAATACTGTGGATAAGTAAATGAAAGAAATAATCCGTTTAAATGAATAAAACAAAGGAGAAGGTACGGAGAGGTCTGAGAGAAATAAATTAAGAGTATAAGCTGCCAATTAAACGTTTGATTACCTGTGGCGTTGCCGATATCACAGACGCAGGTATTGGTGGGATAGTAGTTGGCTGTGGCGGTTGTTTAGCTAACAGCGACGCCAGCATTTTATTTTTTTCCCATAGTTTGCTCGTTGCATTGGTGGATGTACCGGAAGAGGAGACTTGGTGTGAACCGTCCATGGGCCGTTTCACAGCTATGTTCAAATCGCCATCCTCGCCCGGTCTCTTTTGCCCGACCTGAGTTGATCCACCAAGTCCAACGTTGTCGCCCGATTGGGACGGCGACGGCGTGGTGTTCCGAAATCCAAGACTCCGCAACAGATGATCTTCTTCTCGAGCCTGTGACTTGGACTGTTCAACGCGTTCGATAAGTCACCCATTGATTGAATTTTGAAGACGCGATAATTTCATACTTAATGAGTTTAGAAAATAAATATGAAAACGAATATTCATACATTTCATGATAAAAGGCAAACCGAAGCAAGAAGTTCATTATTTCCTTGGTCGTTTTTGTGATTAAGAAGAATTATTGATTCCTAAAAGTAATCTTGGAATCTTGCCAAATAATTAGAACGTGTTATGCTAATGATCGCCTACCTGTTGCTCTTGTACTTTCCTCTCGTCGTCTTGGTCTTTCAAAAGCTGTTGTAAAAGTTCGTTTCTCTTCTTCAAACCAGCCCGAGCCTCTTCATCTTCGTCGTCATTTTTCTCATTCAATAACTTGAAAAACGAGGCATAAAGAACAGATTAGTACATTGTAGCGCTAAGAAATTACATGTTTTTGATGACAACGCTACTGTAGGATGAAGACAGCGATCAGCCAATAATTCTCTTCTTTCAAAAACTCGGAAACAACAATTAAAATGAATGTAACAAGACAGTATGCCTTTGCTAAGCTGTACATTGTCTCAAACCCTACGTAGGCGCGATCATGCTTGTAACATAATTAAGATGATTCAACGTATCATCCTTGTTTTGATTTCTCATCAAGAATTTATGCAATGGTTATATACTACGTGTTCATCGTAGTACAAATATAGTGATACATGTAACGTCAACATGTTGATAAAATATAATAATAATAACCCAAAAATCACGAAGATACAAATTAAATTACGAAGGACATTTTGGCTGATCGCATTCCTTTGAGACGCATATAAGACTGGAAGAAGGGAAAGGGCATAAAGCTGTCGGAATCGATTGAGCCAGTGTTTCTCAAACTGTGGTCCACGGATCCCTTGAGGTTCATAAACTTGGTAATAAGTACCCACGAACTCTTAAAAGAAAAAAGAAACTTATATAATGAAATGAATAAAATGTATTCCATAGTATTTCAGTCTTGTCAAAAATAACTGGTGAAAAGTTGTCTGTCGTTAATAGTGAAAACATTAAAAAAAGTAATATGACTCAAGTTAATTTCTGTGAAGCAATGTCACTAAACTCGTTAAATTTTGATTTTTTCTAATTTTTTGTATAATTTTATCCACAAACTGTTGTACTTGTAACATATTCATTATTTTGTATAGTACATATAATTCATATGTCAGAGTTAAATGTTATATTGAATTTATCGTTTGTATTTACTCGATTGAAGAAATTATTTTATTATTAAATAATACTAAATCAATTTCAATAAAACTCATGCGCATTTACCCAACTTTTGTTCATATTTATTTTTATGCGTTGCTCAACCAAAAATATATAAAAAAATCAAATTATCGTAAATGGAAGCTATGTAAATATAACTTTTTATAGTATAACTATAAAGTTATTAGATTTAATATTAGAGCCTATAATTCTGTACACGATTTAAGATATACGTATAATGGTAAAGATCTTCACAAAGAGCACTTTAGTATAGTAATTTTTATTTTACATATATTTAAAATGGAGCGCGTTTCAGCGAGGATTGTTATTTCCACAATGAATAATGAACTATGCAAATATCTATTGTCTAGTGGTGTGTATTTAACATTCTTAAGCTTCGCTGCCTATTTAATTTCAAATGTTAATAAAAGACACAGAACTAATTCCGGTATCACAAGTTGGAAAACTACCAATTCATAGAATAACATAATCTGGAGGAAGTTTCTACTTCCTATTATAAACATAAATCCATGTTTATTAGCAATTATGGAAGTTGCAAAGACACAGTACACCAGCGCCATTAACGGGGAAGCGCTTGGAATGTGAAGTTCGAGAAACACTGGATTAAACGTAGAAAGACCAAGGAACGGACTTGTCGAGTTAACCAGTTATGAATTCTTAAAAATGTACTATTTATCTCGTGTAAAACATCTCTAAAGAATTATTTATTGTCGCTTATGTATTGCGGATTGAAAACAAAAAGACAAAGTACAATAGTAGCGTACATAAATAAATCAATTTTTTTGAGCTACATTATTCATATTATTTGTTTCTTAACATGCGAAACTGCAATTACTCTTAACCTCCTTGTTGTGGGGGTTAATTACAAGCAATGCTCACGGATTTTTTATTGTGAAACTTGACATTATAACGAATCAAACTTGCAATTGTACAGCAAGGAGTCAAAAGACTCAAAGATAATTATTTAATAAAAAAAAAAGTATGAAAAAGATGATCTCGACGTGGCAATTCGTTGGTCTTGAAAACGACGGCTACTGGCTGGATCTTTCTAGGATTAAGCGATGGGGGTACTTAGTCCGGTACCGCCTTGTGAATCATGCAAAGATCAGCCTGTTTACCTGTAACAGCATATTATTTCCAAGCGTAGATTTCGAATGCTCCATGCTCGGTTTCGGCATGTTGCTAGGACTCGTGCGCACTTTATTATTATGCTCGGGATGAAAATCGTCCTCGTCCGGCTGGTTCAACAAGATTTTTAATATCCTATGCTTATTTTGGCTCTCGGAATCGTTATTTGTATTGTCCTGACTGTCCTCACTAGCACTAGCCCCCTTGGTCAACAAGTTTCTGAGCCTGCCGGATTCGGTGGACACAACACTGTTTTGAGTTTCAACGACGCTCGCGGCGGCGCCGGTCTGCCCGGTCGCAGGGTTACCACCAGCGACGGAGGTCGCGTTGTTTCTCGCGTTGTTGGCCTCCATAGCGGACTGGTTGGTGGTCGAGCACCCGGTCTTCCCTTCATCCTGTCTCTTGGGCGTCAATCCAGCGGCGCCGTTCGCGCTAACGCTACTAGCGGCGCTGTTCGTCAAGGAGGACGTCTGTGATTCCTGAAGCGGACTGAAGGGGAACGAATTACTGAAGGTGTGAGCCGCATTGCCTGAGGTCGGGCTGAACGCGCGTAGGGGACTGCAGTGAGGCGCCACCGCCGAATTAGAGGAGAACGTTCCCTGGGGACTCGGAGATGTCGGGGCTGGCTGGGAAGGTGGTCGTGAGTTTGGTGGCCCGCTCGCTCTCGATTCGGGCCTATCTGCCCACCCGCTGCTACTATCCAAGTCCCATGTGGAACTGGGGAAGAGCTCGAATTCCAAGTCCATGTTCCCCGAAAAGTGGTTGAACGGATTACTGGTACTTAGCGACGGCAGGGGGTTGCAAGACTCGGCCGCGCTAAATACTATCGAGTTCGACGATGTCGCGGCCCCGTGCGACGACGTACCCGCCAACCCCCGACCACTGATACCGCTCACTTGACCGTTCAGATGTGCCACGGGCATCAGCGGGCCACCCACGTTATTCTTATTGTTACCATTATTATTATTACTATTATTCGCACAACGGTTACTAGAGTGTCCTGAGCACACTTTGTTGTTGGAAAGCTGACCACCCTCGATAGGCGTTAAGTCATTGTCCCTATCATGGACAAGAAACAAAACAACACATGTAGTTGCCAGTTACCATTAAACACTTTTCTGTTTAGTATAAACACTAAGCATCACTATGTGTACCGGGTCATTTCACAAGTCTTTGCGTATATTTATTTATTTATCTTTTAATATCCATCTACAGAGATACTCCTGGATGTCCAGTCTTCTTTCGCTCTGTATATCATACTTTTTCAGTTATGGATCTTCTTCGATTAGTTTCAAATCCATTTTCTATTCTTTCTCGTTGATCTTGAATATCGTTTGTTTCTTTTGCACAATGGATTTCAAATGGCCTCGCGGGTAAAGATTGAATTTCTTTTTTGCTACTTTTAATACTGAACTCTCGAGATTTAGATACTGATTTTTGATTATTAACAGATCTCATGATCAGCGATATTGTTTGTAAAAATCAAACAAGGTCAAAATGATTAAAAAAAAAATGAAATAGCAAAGTTACAGTTTTTATCTTGATAAAATTGCAACACAGTTAGCATTAAAGAAATAGTTTTATCGCATTCTAGACGACAGCAGTGAAAGGCAATATGAAAACTGTACAGAAGCATGCTCACATTCTTTAAAGATTCGTACAAACAAAATATAAAGTGTGAGTATATTTTCAGTAATTTATTCGGAGCAAAACTATTCTTCTAACACTTGCTATAATCAATTCTTGCCATGAAATTCTATTGAACGTAAACAATTGTCCATTTTCAGCTATAAATATATTGCAAATAAAAATAGGAAATTTTATATGTATTTATGCATTTTCCTTGGATTCCAATAACGTAAAAAGATCTGTATACTGAATTTTTTCAAAAAGTCTCAACTTGGAAGCCTATCATAAATATTTACTGACACTAGCAACAACTATTATTATTTTCCTTGCGTTAATTTCAAACTAAAAACTGTTATTCATCTTACTCGTACTCGCTTCAACGACAGATTGAACGAGAAAACTGAACATAAGCCTCGATGGACGTCTCGTGGTTTGATCTGGTAGGACTTTGTATGTTCGAATACATATACTTAAATACGCAAGGGCTTATGAAATGGCCTAATGCTATTTCTAATTGCGATGTATCGCGCTGAATGGCCCCGCCATCGCGGCGAACAGTGCTCGGCTGATTTTCATCGACTGTTCGCGATCGAAATCGAAAGAATGCAAAACCATGTGACTAATAAAAGCCTGTAAGAAATACGGAGATAATGTTCTTAATATTCCGTGCACTGTTCGCCGAGAGAGGTGCCTTGAGCGTCTATCGAGCCACCTTGATACCCTGATGTAAGTTGTATAAGCGTAAGTGAGACTTACTACACCTTGCCACGGCGGTAAATCTTACTTTCGCTAAGTACTTACAGCTTTAACGCGAAAACCCTGAGGTGAGCGCAAAACGCTTCGACAATATGTAACAATGTTGCTGAAACTGCTCCCGGAGATAATTGACAAAACATCAGCAAAAACAAGCAGGAAACGGGTAATTTCGTTAACCGACGGAATCGACAGAAAATTAAAATAATTCCTCTTTCTACTCTCTTCGTAATTCGACTTTGATAGTTATGGAACGAAACCTTGCGATCACCTTTTGCTTCGTAACACGCGTTTCTAAACGTCAGGAAATTCGTAAATCAAGATTGAAAATGGCAAGGATCGTGCACCGATCGGTGAACCCGAACGTTCGATAGCTGCTTGCCAAGCGACGCTCTTAACCTTTGCCATTTCCAGGAACAGTGTACGAGGTGCATGTGGAAACAAAACACTGCGGAAGGTTGTGTGGCGTGGCACGATCAAACCAGCGTGCGATACGTGGGTAATTTGTTAGCATTCGAAGCGTTAGAAAGCCATAAACGAATGAACGCATCCTATGTATTGTCGACATCGCAGAGACGGTGGGTAAATTGTTTCAGTTTCAAGAGTGGCCAGATCTCCAACACCGAGAAGAAAACCTGTGTCGCGACGCATGCATGGGCGTTTTCGGAAACCTAAAAAAAAATAACAGCACAACGTCCGAAACGGAAATTTCAAACCAATTAGGTGCCAAGAAATCGAAATAAACGATTCGAATATCACGCTTTGTCCGTATTTAGTCTCTTCAAGTTTCTTCTTTTTGTCGTCTGTGTTCATTTTTTATCGATGCCTTTGAGTTAGCTCGAGATAGTTCTTGAAGCAGTAGCGATCGAACAAACGCGAAGAAATTAGGAGAACAGAATATATTAGCCGGAAACCCAACGCAGCGGGAAATTCAAAAAGTGGAATGTCGTGTAGATATAGTCACCCTTGCCTACGTATTCCAATAGAAGAGTAATTAAGCGATACGAAGTATATGCAGCGAATCTTGGACAATTGCGAGAACCACGGGACTGTTTACTTTTCAGTTCCCAGTTTCTATCTTGCCGAACGTAGAAAAGGACAGCGAATTAAGGATAAATAAACATAGAACGACGCAACATGAAACTTATTTTTTATTTTTTTTTGTTAACGGCACCTTTACTAATATAACTGAGGTTTTTCTGATTAAAATAAGACCAGACACAATATAACTTTCATCAGGATCATATTTGCGTATTTAATGAGATTTTATACTTTATTAGAAGTAGGTTAAAAACAAATTATATTGTGTTTGGTCTTATTTTAATCGGGAAACTCTCACAAATACAGTGGTAAAAGTTTCATTTAAAAAAAAACAAAAATAAAAAAGTTTCATCTTTGCATCATATACTATACATATATGCACTGTCTCACCGATATTCGATATCAGATTACATTACATAGTCTCTGCTCGACATTGAACTTCTTTGGTGTGTCAAGGGGAGTCTCCTCCCAGTAGTAGCGATGACTATCGTTCACTTATCCAATCGAAAATGACTCGCAGTTATCCAAGCATTGCTGTATTAACTTAATTACCCAGCAGAACGACGATCACTAAGGCGCTCATTAAAGGGAACGATTAAATACTGAAAAGCAGGTTCGTGTTTCCATTGTCGACTAATTTTCAGTGGCTACCAATACCGTTAATTTCGATGCAACCCATAATAATCGAAGTTCTGCTACCCAATTCCTACTCGTCCTTTCGTAATCCTATTGTTAATATATTTACCTACTTCTACCTAATATCAACACACTGAGCACCACAGCAATCTGGATGATCATTAAAATATATTATACAAACATCTGTAGCTGAATTTGATTCTTTAAAATCGTCACTTTGGTAATCAGTGTATTAACACGTTCGAACCTCGGATTTAATCGTAGTTATTTCTCGAAAATCTTTTAATACGATCGAAAGTTTCACAATTTAGAAAAATGACGATTAATCCGGAGTCAAACGTGTGTCGAGCGCAATCTAACGAGTTTTACGACTATAAGGTATGCCGGAAGAAAGGACAGAGCCGCTCAAACTTACCCAATGATGGAATTGGTGGCCATAATGAAGTCGGTATCGTGTGCATTCATCACATTTGCTTTGAAAAGTTTTGACTTTGTTTGAATGTTAAGGAACTTATCAGGACTAACGCGTAGCCGGTACACGCCGCTGATACTCTGACCGACTTGAAGCGTATCGTTCAAATGTGCAGTTAGCTTACTGAGATCAAGAGGGTGGCACAAGTCTTTTATTGTAGTGCCAATCAGTTCCTGCAACAAAGTTTCATACAAATGTATATTTTGCGTATAATATCATATTTCTTACTCTAAAAATGAGAATGCAACAACATCGAATATGAATTTCTTAGCCATTTTTAATGTGAATCGATTAACGTTTCAGTTAAACAATATGGAAATGTACGGAGCTATTAACACGTTGATCGCCTCATCAAACCTCTCAAAACTTTATTTCCAGACAATTGGATACTAGCGTACCCACAATTTGTCATAAAACTTATTTTTGCAGCCCCGTTAAAATTCAAGAGTCTAGATTTATTCTCTTTAACATCTTACAAATTAATTTTGTTAGCTCCTCAGTGGCAGTCAATGTATCGAATCGTGTACGATGCTATAAATACTGCTTCTGAATAATGTTCGTTGATTTATACGATACGAGCTCTTGACCAATAGTAAAATAACCTTTTCAAAAAGTTCTGATTCATCCAAGGACAATCTCTACCTCCCTAGCATGCATTTAGTTTGTTAATCGCTAAAAGTACGTTTAGATTTAAGATCGTGAGATTCGTGGTTGGAATTTAAATGTTCATTTATTTCAAAGACAATATTTCGTCCCTGAAAAGGCTAACCGATCCACGTCGTGGACGAACTCTTCCCAAATATATCTACTCAGAAATGACTGCCGGTTACAGCGCGATCAGCTTCGCAAATATGGCTATCATCGGTCGCGCGCAAACATCAGCATTCTAAATGACAGAAAGAGCAAAGATGATTGTGTATCTTGCTTCTAAACGTTTCAGAGCGGCTACTCGATATTCCAAACCGAGATCATTCATTTGTCGGACGACTGGTCTAGTCAACTGAATTATCTGGACCACTGATGGACTCTTTCTTCCAAATCCTAATATCGAAAAGTGCGTACCACTGGAGTAACTAGAAGGTTCGGAAGAGAATACATCAGGAATCTTACGTACCCTTACCTTGGTTAGGTACTTGGAGTAAGGAAGCGACAACCAGTTGGCATCGACCGCGACAATCTTCCCCGTGGTGTCCAACTTAACAGTAAACTGCTCGATGGGCAAACCAATGGGCTTCTCATTCGGGGGTATTCTGCGAGCCACGCACATTACGCAAGGACCGATGTCCGAGGATTCGGAGGACACATCACCGCTCTCCAGACGATCGCTATTACTTGGCAAAAGAGCGGAACAGATTTGCATAGACTCATATTTCGATACTCGTTGCTGCTTCTCTTCCATAGTCTCTTCTTTATCATCGGGAGGCTTCACCAAGAAGCGGCAATTGAAGGTACGATTCTTCGTTTGGGGCTGTGGCTCGCTCGTCCAGCCTGAATTACATAACATTGTTTAATTTCAAATTAAACAGAGATCTTTATCTTTTTCTCGCTCGTCAAACTATATAAGATTTGTTACAGCGGTTCGGGAAATAGTCTTGAATAAAAAAGATTCTTGTGTATTATGGGGAGACGAGATGGTGGCACGTTACCTGCAAACTAAACGACGCACAGTGGGGCCATTGCCAAACGCGGCAAAAAGTGGTTTTATACAAATATACCCACAATTAAATAATGATTCACTAATAGTTAATGGGACACATGGGCCATGATTTTGAAACGTTTAATCTTAAAATCATCCAAAATTATAATCATCATTTATTGTTGCTTTGATTCTTCAAAGTAAATGATGTACGTATTTAAATTACACCAAAGTACACTTTTATATCTCCAACATTTTTTTAGTTATAACTAATTGAAGATGTTCAGTTTTTATTTTTTTTTTTAATTATAAATGCAGTGTGATTCAGTGTTCATTTTAGTTGCTTTTTGTAGAGTGAAGCCTTACCTTTTTTTTTAAAAAAAATTAGCTGCTACTAGCTAATGCTCCAAATTCGTGATCATTTTATGCTTTTATAGCATTTGAAGCAAAAACAATGAAATGTATGCATTGTTTCCAAGTTTTGATGTATTTTTGAAAATCGTAACAATACTCGCAATCACCGACGCTCGCACGTGCCGAAACAGTTGATCATCTTTATATTTTTCGCAGTAACAGCTAGTAGCAGCTAATTTTTTTTTAAAAAAAAAGGTAAGGCTTCACTCTACAAAAAGCAACTAAAATGAACACTGAATCACACTGCATCCATAATTAAAAAATAAAATGAAAACTGAACATCTTCAATTATGTAGTTATAACTTAAAAAATGTTGGAGATATAAAAGTGTACTTTGGTGTAATTTAAATACGTACTAAGTATATTTAATTCAATTACTCATCATTTACTTTGAAGGATCAAAGCAACAATAAACGATGATTATAATTTTGGATGATTTTAAGATTGAACGTTTCAAAATCATGTAGTCGTATCAAAAATCGACAAATGATAAAAAAAATCACACTAAATCATGGCCCATGTGTCCCATTAACTATTAGTGAATCATTATTTCATTGTGGGTATATTTGTATAAAACCACTTTTTGCCGCGTTTGGCATGCAATGGCCCCACTGTGCGACGCAAGGGGCACGTAATCCCCTCCACTTCTTAGGTTCTTGGTTGTTATTAGGTAAGTCGATCACCAATCCAAGAACCTAAACAGTGGCGACTAGGTGGAGCCTACTCGTGGTTCCCTTTGCCCCTTGCGTCGTTTAGCTTGTGGGTAGCGTGCCAACATTTCGTCTTCAAATAGTATGTCGGCTGTGAATTATTATATCGACTCTGAAATGGTTCTATATTGGGTCAAAACAATTCTACGGTGTTCTTATGCCAATTATGTAATATTGTTTCTGTATTCTATGACGCTTTTAAAAATATATCAATTTTTTTACATTTTTGCCTTAGATATTAGTATTAAATCAGCATCCGTTGAGTGTTTTTAATTCATATTTATTTTATTAATACTGCTACTTTGTACACTTTATACACTTACACAGTCAACAAATTTAATTATTAATAATGTATAATGTAGTTAAACCGATATATGTATAACGAAATCATTTCATAATTGATATAGGACAACTTCACAACTGATATAATAACGGTTCTGTAAAACCGTGACCATAAATTAGAACCATTTTCATTCATAACTGTTATATCATTTCGGTTCTTAAAGGGTTTTAGTCAGAACCTTTACATAACAGTTTGAAATAATTATTTTCAAAACCTTTTCGATCCCTCATTTTGGTAGAGGAATTGTATATTATTTCATTATGAATATATTCTTCCATCGAGCATGACGGACGGTTGAAGTTTGTGTTAAAAAACTTTCTTATACAAATTAAAGCTTTTTTGAATATTACATGCTAGTAGCTAAAATAAATCTGAATTGTACGTCACTTAGATTTTAAGTTTTATATTAAATTCAAGAGTTTTAACCTGCTTTATAACTAATATTTCCGTATATTAAGTAGACTATACTTTTCATAGAAATATAAAGACCAACTAAAGACAATTATATCTGGATTAGACAAAAATACTAGAATTTATAGGAAAATCACAAACATACAAATTTTGAATTTCAATTTGTAAGAAATATTGTAACCTTGTATTAAAATATTGTAAGAATTAATTTAATTCTTTATCCGTGATAAAAATATGAAAAAATTACCTGAATAGTTTAAGAAGAGAACTGCCATATTTATCTCAAATTATTTAAACGTTCTTTCCGCATTTTTGTACTTTTACCTTTGAAGAGGAACGCATATCAAAGTAATCGTTACAGTATTTTCTTAACATCACCAAATAATATACAATTCCTCTACCATAGTTTAATTTCTGTTTTTCTTTGCTATATTTTAAATTATTCGCAGCTTGAAGAAGAAAACGAAAGATCAAAGGTTCGTAGCTTTTCTATTTCGTAATCAATGATATTTTATGGATTCCTTAAATCTAATATCACCGGAATTTTATATAATCGACACGATAAAAGATGCTTTAATTAACAAATATAGAGGACGCCTCGTAGAATGTAATAATTTTACATTATAATCTTGATTCAGTTTCATTTATCGTAGTATATAATTTTAAAGTGGTTCAATTTTGATTTTGAAACAATAAATTCATCCGAGAGGTTACTGAAATTATTTCGACTTAATCTCTAAAATTTTATAAACATTTTTATCCTTTTTAGACTTATAGACTAAACTGGTTTCAATTTCGATACGAGCGTCTGTTACGACTCGACGCAACTAATTTTTTGCACGCGGTACGTTTGGAAAATTGGTATAAATATTGAATGAAATTTCACGCATCGCTGTCTCGAAAAGCAAAGCTTTCGATGCGGAGCGGTTTTTATCGCCGGGTATCGCGTTTCTGCTGCGCTCGCGAATTTTGAAACCGTCTTCTTCAATTACACAAGATAAATCTTTGCTTTGCAGAACCACCGAAGTTCATAACAAAACGAGATAAACCACGTAAGGCGCACGCATAAATACATGCCAAAGTTACATTATCATAACTCGTAAATAATCGTTTCATCATGTACCCGCTATTTAAAAAAATAAAACAATAAAGAACAGATATCGTTTTCGAAATTGAAGGAAAAAAAAATTGGAGAAAAAAATGGTAATATTGTATCGACGGGGTACCAACCTAGCGACATAGGCAACAAGCTCGGCATGAAGGTGTTGTGGTCTCCATGGTGAATAATATTATAAATATCCTTGCCAAGCACATCGTCCTTCGTATAATTTATATATTGTGTTATATTATCCGTTACGGACTCCACGCGTCCCTCCGTATTTACAACAAATAGAAAGCCATCTAGCGCCTAGACAAAAATTCAGAACACGGTTAGAAAGATACTGGTGCACTGATCGACCGGCTGACGATAATATTTGGGTAGCTGATCGGTATGGACAATTAATTCTGAACGATGTAAAACCACAGACGAGGTGTACGAGTAGACCATATACAGGGCGATCGGCCACATCTGAGAAAAATTTTAATGGGAGATTCTAGAGGCCAAAATAAGACGAAAATCAAGAATATTAATTTCTTGACAGAGGCTTCGTTAAAAAGTTATTAACAATTAAATTAAAAAATTTCAAATCATACCGAAAAAATTATTTTCAGCTGCGGGGGTCAATTATAATCAGTTCTGGTCATTAGGCATATCCTTGAAATCCTTCCCATTTTGGAAAAAAAATTCGAGGAGGTATGAAATTTTTTGGCGAAAAAAAAAATTTCAAATCGATCTGGAAAAATTATTTTCGGTTACAGGGGTCAATTACAAGCATTTTTGGTGAATAGACATATCCTCGAAATCCTACCCACTTTCGAGAAAAAAATTCGAGAAGGTATGAAATTTTTCGACAAAATTATAAAATTTCAAATCGTTCTGAAAAAATTATTTTCGGTTACAGGGGTCAATTACAATCATATTTGGTGAATACACATACCTCCGAAATCCTATCCACTTTCGAGAAAAAAATTCGGGTAAGTGCTGAAATTTTTCGGTGAAATAAAAAATTTTTTAATTGTTCTAAAAAAATTATTTTCGGCTGCGGGGGTCAATTACAATCATTTATGGTCATTACACGTACCCCAAAAATCCTATGCATTTTCGAGAAAAATTCCTTACCAAAAATCTAATTAGGTGCCTAAAGTCGACGAAAAAAAAAATTTCAAATCGTTCTGGAAGAATTATTTTCGGTTGCGGGGGTCAATTACAATCATATTTGGTGAATCCCCCGAAATCCCACCCATTTTTTAGAAAAAAATTCAAGAAAGTGTGAAAAAATAATTTTTTTACAATGATTTGAAATTTTTCAATTTCGCCAACAAATTGATCCACCATCCTAAATTTTTGTCTGGAAAATGCGTAGAATTTCGGAGGAATGTGTATTCACCAAATAATAATTGATCCCTGCAACCAAAAATAATTTGTTTAGAACGATTTGAAATTTTTCAATTTCGCCGGAAAATTTGTCCACCTTTCTGAATTTTTTTCTCGAAAATGCTTAGGATTTCGGAGGTATGTGTATTCACCAAAAATGATTATAATTGACCCCCACAACTTAAAATAATTGAAATTTTTTTTTTCGTCGAAAAATTTAGATACCTACCCCTCTCCTGTCGATTTTTCCTAAAAATTAGTTTTTGATTTTTAATAAATTTGTTAGACGTCCTACGGAAATTTTATCTAATACTTTTTTATAGGTATCCATGAGCTCTGCTTCAGAAATGAAGTTCAATGAAATACATTCACCATTCTAGGAGGTATGGTCGTTTGAAAATTGCGTTTTTTAATCTCTTCCATAGTCAACTCACATATATTTATGCACACACTACAGCTGTCTGCTCATCAATACCAATTCACTGACTAGTTTCTCAACTGACCGCCATCCATGAGAAGGGAACGATAAAATCACCTCCGAATTTTGAGGTCTGTATGACAGTCAGATTGGACCACGAAAGTCCATAAGGTGCAAGGTCTACTCGTATACTTCGTCTGTGATAAAACTACTGTGATTAATTTTCGTTGCAGAATAATTTCTAGCTTCGATTCTGTGATTAGCACTCGTTAAATCAATGATGAATCACAAAGTACAAATAAAAGAAAAAGGTTTTTTCAAATTGTGATGGAATTCGTTACTTAACTATAACACAAAATAAATTTGTTATACACTGTTAATTTTCAAATATTTATCAACATTGAACTGATGCAATTTTCAATTGTCAATGTTATGTTATTCAGATGAAGAAACCCTAAATGATACAGAGACGAAGAACGTTGAAGATATACAGTACCGAACAAAAGTATTGGCACAGACCGTATTTTCAAATAAAATGTTATGTAGTTGTGAATAAAGCACAATGTCTTCTTTATTTTTGGTATAAAATATAAGTTTGGGGTTTGAACTTTAAGTATCTCGCGAAATAAAGCGATTAAGTAGACCTGCAATAATAAAAAATAGTAACAAATACACAGAGGACAGTTTTCGACGAAACAAAAGTATTGGCACACTTGTAAATTTAATATTTCTATGAAACACTTATGTAAATATTTATAATATTGGCATGACTGTTGTATCCAGGGAAGTCCCGAGATTCAATTTGATATTCATTTGTTATTTCTTACTAAGTTTGCCTGTAATAAAGTGAATAACACAACAATGTATCGAAAAACACGAGAAACAACAATTTCAGAAAGAAAACTTATATTAAAATTATCAAAAGAGGGAAATTCATATTCTGCAATAGCTAAAATAGTAAATAGAAGTCGTTTCACCGTAAGAAATATCATTAAACGGTTTCCTGACGAACAAAATGTAAAAAATCTTCCGCGAAGTTGTCGTCCACAGAAATTACCAGAACGAGATAAACGAAAAATTACCAAGATTGTAAAAAAAAACTTCCTAAAGTTGCCTCTACAGAAATAGCAGCACAAATGAAAAGTGAAAATAAGGTAGATGATATCCTATAACTATCCGGGGAGTTCTTAAAAGTGCTGGGTACAATTCAAGAGTGGCTAGAAGAAATCCATTGATCAGCAAAATTAATCGAAAAAACAGATTAGAGTTTGCAGAGATGTATGTACACAAAAATTTAGAATTTTGGGATAGAATACTCTTCTCTGACGAAAGTAAATTTAATATTTTTTTAAATCTGACGGTCAAATAAGAATATGGGGAAAGCGTAATACCGAGATGGATTCACATAATATAGTCTCAACTGTTAAACACGAGAGTGTTAGTGTATTAGTATGGGGTTGTATGAGTTCCACTGGACTTGGAGAACTAGTTTTTATAGACGGTATTATGGATAAATGTGTATATTTAAATATTTTGAAACAAAAGTTTAAAAAAAGTGTGGAAAAATTAAATCTTGGGGAAAACTACTATTTCCAACAAGATCATGATACCAAGCATACTGCTTATATTGTCCGCCAATGGATCGTTTTTAATACACTCCATACATTGCCAACCCCTCCTCAATCGCCGAATTTAAATCCGATTGAACACATATGGAATGAGTTAGAAAGAAGGATCCGAAAACACCTTATTCAAACAAAGGAGCAATTAAAAGATGCACTTATGAAGGAATGGAACAAAATAGGTTCAGAAATAACACAAAATTTAGTACATTCGATGCCTAATCGGTTACAAAGTGTAATAAGATAAAAAGGATTACAAACAAAATATTAATTTGAATATTGTATTATAAAATAGTAAGTGTGCCAATACTTTTGTTTCGTCGAAAACTGCCCTGTATGTGTTTGTTACTATTTTTTATTATTACAGGTCTACTTAATCGCTTTGTTTCGCGAGATACATAAAGTTCAAACCTCAAACTTATATTTTATACCAAAAATAAGGAAGATATTATGCTTTGTTCACAGTTACATAACATTTTATTTGAAAATGCGCTCTGTACCAATACTTTTGTTCGGCACTGTATTTAAACTGATGCTCGTTTTAGACTAATGTTTCCCTTACATTACATGAATATTAAATATTCAGAATAATACGGAAATGTTTAAATTATATAGACTGCATAGATCTATGTGGTAAATGTGTCTTGGAATTTTAAATAAACTTATTCAAAGTAAATACAGCATGTCACTGATAAATTAAGTACTACCCCTGTTCGATACCATCTCTAACGTGCAATTTTACACGTACGAGAAGACAACCGGACTTGGCATACTTTGATTTCTATTTAAAGCACAGTCAATTATTTACAGCACATTTCTTACGCTGTACGTCCCATTCATCTGTCCGAAGAAACACTTACGTTCAAATTTATTACATTCGACGCAACAATTTTGTTTTATATCGATTCAGGTTATTTAAGCTTCTACGCCACCCCTAGCCGGTGGCGCACCCGAAGGGTGTGAAACAAATTAATCCCCCTCCCGCATGCTACAAATATTCATTTGTTTGCCTTCAACAATTTTTTATATATGTATAACAAGAAAGGAACAAATACCAAACAAGAACATTATGTATAACAATAAGGTCGCAAGGTTAAAGGTAAAATAATTAAAATAAGTTTCGAAAACAATAAATAATGTTTCATATATTAGTATAAAGTAAACTGTTTCGAAAAGTATTGCGACGTATTTGGGTTAATTTTTAGTTCTATCACCACTGTTAAATTTCTGGATGCGCCACTGCTCCTAATACGTAACAAATGAACTACTTTATGTTGAAATAATATATTTAAATGTTATTCATGTACCCTAAAATTAAAATAAAAATATTTCTGATGTATGTACTTGAAGTTGTTAAGACTCGAGATTTTGCAATTTGTGGTGTACGATGTGTTTAAAATGATCTACAACCATTGTATAGGCAAAAATAAGACGAAAATCAAGAATAAAAATTTGTTGACTGAGGTTTCGTTAAAAAGTTATTAACGTTTACAATTTGATGTCGATACGTCACTAAGTAGGGTTTCCCATGCTGAATGAAAACCACTATTACGCGCACGCAACTGTTCGCAAATTGCCGTTCTACAGGTGGAACTTTAAACGTTAATAACTTTTTAACAAAGCCTCAATCAACAAATTGGTATTCTTGATTTTCGTCTTATTTTGTCGTCTAGAATCTTCCATTAAAATTTTGCCCAGGGGACGGCTGAACACCCTGTATAATAATAGCACAGTAAATTTACAAAACAAATTGCAGTCATGTTTCCAACAATTTGACGCTGAGTAACTATTCCCAATATGTATTCTATAATATAATAAGAATAATCTCAATCCACAGGAGCACCATGTATGGCTTAACTAGTTGATAGTTTCCATTTCTAGAACACAACTTCCATGAAAAAAATTAATTATAATATTTTTCAATGCATACCAAGTTTCATAAAAATGAAGAAAGCTCAACAGTTGGAATTTTCTGCAAAATAAATTATAAACTAATTTCAGAAGAAGAGGAAGACCAGTCAATAAAGAATTTCTATTGTTTCGTTTTCTAAATTGACTGTGTTATTATTCCACACGTACAATGACTATAAAACCACTTTATGGATGGCGCTGAAGACTTTGGATCTCCTTAAGGTACAGGATACTTTTTTTGAACCGATGAACCGAATCGAACAATCGTTGTTTAATCAGATATGCTTGATCCTACCACTATTCAACGCCTAAAATGATTTATTCTTCGTTCCGAAAACAAGTATTTCTAAATAAAATATAGCTTCGAGCGAATGCTTCCGAGCGTAGATCGAGAAACGGTAACGAAAAAGGCAGAGTAAGTTGATGGAACTCGGTTGATTTGTAAGCGCAAATTGATTCGTACCTCGAGTAAAACAAGACCAACTTGATCGTTGGACAGTATGTTACGATTCGACGAAGACACTTCACCCTGTTGAACGGCATGACTATTCGAGCCTTTCTGTTGCGTAATGTGCTGCATCTGTACAGAGAAAAAAATTACACCGTTAGTAAAATTCCAATTCCAAACACGGTGAAACGTTGCAACGAATTTTACTTCGAGGTATGCGCACCTTGTGAAATGCAGCACAACAAGAAACCGGAAAACAAAGAAGACGACCGTGGAAACAGAGTAATCAAACGAGGGAACACGTGTCTCAATTAATTGAAAGAGAAGAAATATTTAAAGTCTTTATGTTTCAAATAGACGAATAAATATTTACTTATTTTAAATGTAATTGTTAATGGAAATTTGAAGATAAAAATGTAATTGAGTTTGAAATGATTATTTAATACTAAGAGTATTGCAAAAATAAAAATTTTAATGTGACTCCGTAATTATTGGTTCTTATTGTAACTTCAAATATAATTTACCCAACTCCGTACCAATGCAATCACATTAATTGTACAGTCAAATAAATCGCATTTGTATATTCCGCGACACGTACGTCAACATAAATGCAACGTGTGTTTGTAAAACTGAAATAAAGTTAGCCATAATTCTTTTGGTCTCTCGTGTAAAAAGTTCATAACCATTTAATAACGCTACCATAATCGCAAGGTTTTTTTCGCATTAAGTTATCGAGTAATAACACGAAACTGCTTTAATTTCATTTGTACACCAAAACTGGAGTTACATGTTGTATTTCATATTGCATACCAAGGCGAATACGCATTGCGTTCAACGTAATGAATAATTTACAAGACCACGTTTTTCAGTTCCTTACGTTAATATTAAAAGTTATTCTTTATTTATAACGCGACATTGCACAGAACGTAAGATAAGAAACCCGCAGTGTTACTCGAAACTTAACAACCGGTATTTCACCATTAAGTATTGAAAGCGGTTGTCCGTAAGTCAATGAATATTTGCGAAATTAAAAAAAAAAAAAAAAACAGGCCAGGTAAATATTTATCCGATCAGGTATACAGGGTGTTCGGCCTCCCTGGGAAAAATTTTACTGGGAGATTGTAGGAGCCAAAATAAGACAAAAATCAAGAATACTAATTTGTTGATGGAGGCTTCGTTAAAAAGTTATTAATGTTCGAAGTTCCACCTGTACTGAATTTTTTTCTAGAAAGTGGGTACGATTTCGAGGGTTATGCCTATTCATAAAAAATGATTGTAATTGACTCCTGTAACCGAAAATAATTTTTCTAGAACGATTTGAAATTTTATAATTTTGTCGAAAAATTTCACACCTTCTCGAATTTTTTTCTCGAAAGTGGGTAGGATTTCGAGGATATGTCTATTCACCAAAAATTATAGTAATCGACCCTCGGAACTGAAAATAATATTTTCAGAACGATTCGAAATTTTTTTCTCCCGTCGAAACATTTCACACATTCTCAAATTTTTTTCGCGAAAGTGGATAGGATTTTGAGGGTATGTCTAATGAAAAAAATGATAGTAATTGACTCCTGCAACTAAAAATAATTTTTCCACGACGATTTGAAGTTTTTTAATTATCGCGAAAAATTTCAGCATCTGCTCGAATTTTTTTCTAGAAAATGCGCAGGATTTCGAGGGTATGTCTATTCACCAAAAATTATTGTAATCGAACCCCGGAACTGAAAATAATTTTTTCAGTACGATTCGAAATTTATTAATTTTCTCGAAAAATGTCAGCATCTTCTCGAATTTTTTTCTAGAAAATGCGCAGAATTTCGAGGGTATGCCTGTTCACCAAAAATTATTGTAATCGACCCTCGGAACTGAAAATAATATTTTCAGAACGATTCGAAATTTTTTTCTCCCGTCGAAACATTTCACACATTCTCAAATTTTTTTCGCGAAAGTGGATAGGATTTTGAGGGTATGTCTAATGAAAAAAAATGATAGTAATTGACTCCTGCAACTAAAAATAATTTATCCACGACGATTTGAAATTTTTTAATCATCGCGAAAAATTTCAGCATCTGCTCGAATTTTTTTCTAGAAAATGCGCAGGATTTCTGTTGAATTTCGCGGTAATCAGCGCGTCAGCATGCATACTATACTTATAGAATACGTATATAGATGTAGCGCTCGGGGATCGTGCCTTTGACGAGCGACCACGTTTTTCATTATATAGAGGTGTAAAGAATTACTAAAGTATTAAAGATTGAACTATGTTACTATTTTCTTATACGTGCAATTGATTTCTGTTCGGTCCACAACGAGTGAAATCTAACAGGTTATGGGCCCAGGACGAACGGTGAAAAGAAAAGGTTAAAATTAAACGAAGTGAAAAGTGAGGTTAGGGTCCCACGTGCAACGTCCACGCTGAAAAGAAAAAGTAACAATCCATAAAGACGAAATGAACGCAGGAAGAATAGAACAGATTCAAAAGCTAACCAGCACGAATTATGAAACGTGGAAGATTCAGATGAAAAGTGTATTGAGGTTCAACGATCTATGGAAATACGTTAGCGGACAGTTAGTGAAGCCTGAAAATGACGATGGCGAATGGGAAACTAAAGATGAAAAAGCCATTGATTTAATAATACTGAGCATACAGCCGGATCAGTTTAACTACATTAAAAACGCTACTACCTCGACCAAAGTATGGAACTCATTGAAAGATATATATGAGTCCAAAAATCCGATGAGACAGTGTGTATTATTCAAGCAACTATTTAGATTAAGAAAGTCACAGAACGAAACTATGTCAGAATTCTTAAACGAATTTGTAAGAATTGGACAACAATTGGAACAGTGTGACCTGAATTTACCGGAAAATCTGCTGACAATTTGGTTGTTGAATGCGCTACCCGGTGAGTACGAAAATTTTTGCATAGCTATTGAATGCAGGGGAAAAATGCCAAGCCTGGAAGAATTAAAAACGAAGCTCCTTGAGGAAGAAGCTAGAAGATGTCAGTACGACAGAGAGGAAGGACCAAGCAAAATGGAAGCGCTTCTCTCAAAGAAAAACGGTGTGCTGAGATTGGAAAAACCAGAACAGAAAAACACATATACAGAACGAGGTAGGAGACAAAACTATAAATGTTATACGTGCAATAAAATTGGTCATATATCAAAATACTGCAAATCAAAACGCAAACAAAATAATGATTCTCAAAATAAAGACAATAAAGCTATGCAAGCTACGGCTTTGAAAGTAAATTTGCAGAAACCAGGGATATGGTGTCTAGACAGCGGTGCCACAATGCATATGTGCAACAACGAAAGCAGGTTCGAGAATATAGATAAAAAGCAGACCACAAAAGTATATACTGCTACAGAAAGTAATGTAGACTCCAAGGGAACAGGAGATGTACAAATAAAAGTTCAAACCTCAGGCGACAAATCTGGAAACATCAGGTTAGAAAATGCAATACTCGTCCCAGATTTCAAAAGCAATTTATTGTCAGTAACCAGCATCACGGATCACGGATATAAGGTAATCTTTCATAAGAATTATGCAAATGTAGTCAAAGAAAATGGAAAAAGTGATGGTCCTGTATGCATGAAAGCAAAGAGGGAGAATGGTTTATATTTAGTTGAGGAAACTTCTCCAAAACAATTCGCGCATATGACAAAAATACATGATAATGATTTATTGAAGTGGCATCATAGGTTAGGACACTTAAATTTTAATGATTTAAAGAAAATGAAAAATATGGTAAAAGGATTAAATGGAAAAATGGATGGTCAAAACATAACTTGCGAGATATGCTGCAAAAGTAAGATCCACCAATTACCATATTCAAAGTCGACCACTAGAGAAAAGGAAATTTTAGGTTTAGTTCACAGTGATATATGCGGACCAATGCAAGTACCGTCGTTAGGGGGAGCAAGGTACTTTGCTACCTTCATAGATGATAAAACACGGCATATAGAAGTTGCCATGTTAAGGGGGGGAATCCATTTAGAATGATCAAAAAATGCATTTTTTTTTTCTTGCATAAAATGTTAGCTTAACATTTCAGGAATATAATTCCAAAGTTTGAAATTGAAATTCGAAGACGTTTTGAAGGTACAGCTGATGAGCGTGATGCGCCTCTTGAGGCCAGGTAGCGCGCCGCGAGTATGTATACGGGCACGCTTGGCGCAGAGCTTTCCACTTTTTATTATTCCTACATTTTATTATTCGTTATTTGGAAAAGCAGGTATGTCTCCGAACCGGGTATTTCCGACGGTCTATTGTTCACATTTAACAAGTGACTGTCGTCGTCAGTTTCTCTCTGAAATTTAGCCTGTGTGGCCGTATTTTTCGAGAGTTTCGTGTTATTTTTCATCGAATTAATATGTCTTATCCGAAAGGTAGCCGAGAAATATCAGATCGCGCATCAAAGAGGCGCAAAAGATCATTTTCGGGTAATCAGTTTACTAAAAAAAGTGATAAAAGTGAAGAAGGAAGTACCAGTGCGAGCAGCAAAAAAATTTCAGCAAGCAATGTCTCCGATATTCCATGGAATCCTTTACACCATTATCGCATAATCGAATGGTACACTGTTTTTGCAACTTTTTCACAGATGGTTCTTTGTCGCGAGTGCAAACAAACTTTGACCTTTGAAGAAGGTGCACATCGAAGCCTCGGATTTAAATTAATTTTGATGTGCCGTTGCGGGCGAAGAAATATTAACTCAGGCCCTTTAATTAACACTGGATATGAAGTGAATCGACGAATTGTTTTCGTAATGCGACTTTTAGGCCTCGGTAGAGAAGGCATCAATTTATTTTGTAATATAATGGACATCTGCAACGGTTTAAACGAGAGCACGTATAATAATATCATCATGCATATTCATTCGGTTGTAACCTCAGTCTTTGAACGCCTAAGCAAGAAAGCTGTGGACCAAGAAAAGAAAGTGAATGAACAAAATGATCGGCCAATTTTTAATTTGAAAGTATCCGGCGATGGTTCTTGGAAGAGACGTGGCTTTAAGTCATTATATGGTGTAACTACGCTTATAGGTTATTATTCCGGTGAAGTTATCGATTTCGTAGTTAAAAGCAGTTACTGTCAAGCTTGTACAGCTTGGAAAAGTAAGCAAGACGATCCATGTTATGAAGAATGGTTTGAACAACACGAGGAGGAATGCGCAAAAAATCATACCGGGTCAGCAGGCAAGATGGAAGTTGATGCAATGAAAGAAATGTTTTTAAGATCAGAGGAGAAATTCGGCGTGAAGTACAGAAATTATATCGGGGATGGAGATTCTAAAACGTATAAAGCGATATTAGATATAAATCCGTATCGTGACGATTTTCCAGTTAGCAAAAGTGAGTTCGTCGGACATGTGGAGAAGAGAATGAGCACACGACTCCGAAACATAATAATAAAGGAAAAGCTCGGTGGCAAAGGGAAATTAACTGACACTTTAATAAAAAAGCTTACAACATATTATGGATTAGCCATTCGAAGAAATTCACACAATGTAGCTGATATGAAAAGAGAAGTAATGGCTACTTTTTACCACTTATGCTCGACTAACGAAAAACCACAACACGAGCACTGCCCACCAGGCGAAGATAGCTGGTGTAAGTGGCAAAAAGGAATAACGACAGGAGTCAATATGAAATTATTCGAGCATCCCCCTCCTCTTGACAAAGAAGTTGCTAAATTTGTGTTGCCAATATACGAGGATTTGTCAAAGGAAGATTTATTAAGTAGATGTTTAGACGGTCACACGCAAAATGCTAATGAAAGCTTTAACGCAACAGTCTGGCGTTTGACCCCTAAACATCTTAATTCCGGACGTAAAATAGTCGAAATTGCTGCGTATATAGCTGCTGCTATTTTCAATGAAGGCTACGTAGCAGTTTTGCAGATTATGGCAGAGCTGGAATTAAGGGTAGGCAGTCAAAGCAAAAAGTACGCCAAAGAAGTAGACGACCGCCGGCTGAATCGTCAGGGGCGACGCAGCTACCTGTTAACAAACGCAGCCCGAAAAGCGAGAAAAGATCAGCTTGCTAAAGAAAATGAGTATTTCGAGGACGAGGAAGGAGTATTTTATGGCCCTGGAATTGCTAATTAGTCGGTGAGTTGAAAATATCATGTAGTTTTCATGAGTCAAAACTTTACACGCGTTTTTCTCGAAACGTGACTTTTCACATTGGTGTAACGTGTAGCAAAAAAACTATTTGACCGATCATTCTGAAATTGTTATCACATCTTTATAACACAATTACCTTATCTATGAACCTAATTGTTTTTAAACTAAACAAAAAGAAATTACTTTTTTATTGCAAAAAAGAGAAACAAAATAGCCTAAAAAATGAACTTTTATTTTAAGTGCATAAAAATATCGCAGTTTTCAATTTTTTAGAATTCTATTTAGGTTCATCGATAAACTACAAGTATAAACTTTGTACTCATTTTTTTTTTCAGAAGCTTACAGAGGACGCTACAAGTCACACCCGCACACGAGTTTTTTCCCCTGCGCCTACCTCCGGCCTTGAATCTATACCGTGCCGCCATTTTTCAATAAAATTAAATGAAAAAATTCACGATTATTGACTAATACGTACTTAAATAAATGCCAGAGTTTAAAAAACGTACCACTTTTTTTTTTGTCTAAAAAAATTCCCAAAAATCATGTAAATTTGCAGCTTCTAAATGGATTTCCCCCCTTAAAAGAAAGGTCTGAAATATTTAAAGCTTTTAAAGAATATAAAGCAAAAGCAGAAAAGTCGACGGGTCATGAAATAAAGAGAATCCGCACAGATAACGCTAAGGAATATCTGTCCAAAAATTTCACTAATTTTCTTAAGGATGAGGGAATAACTAGACAGTTATCCGTTGAATACACCCCTCAACAGAACGGAGTCGCAGAGAGAGCGAACCGTACATTGGTCGAGATGGCGAGGTGTATGCTATTACAAGCTCAAGTACCATTTAGTTTGTGGGCAGAGGCAATTAACACAGCGGCATACATACGAAATCGTTGCCCAACAAAGGCGCTGGATGATGCGACGCCTCACGAAAAATGGAGTGGAAATAAACCATACATAGGTTATATGAGAATGTTTGGAAGTCGCGTGATCGCACTTCAGAAAAGACATCAACGCAATAAATTCGCACCAAAAGGGAAAGAATATGTGTTGGTCGGATACTCTGAAGAGGCAAAAGCGTATAGACTTTGGGAAAGAGGAACAAAAACCGTTGAAAAAGAAAGAGATGTCAAGTTCCTAGAAGATGAAACTCCATACATTCAAGAAGGTGAAGAAGAAATATTGTATGAGGTACCTTTAAACATACAAACAGCAGATGAGCAAGATCAAATATCCATCGAGGCAGACGAAGATACAGTTAGATTAGAAGAAAATGCAAATCAAGGGGAAGATAATCCAGTTAGCGAATCAGATTCAGATGAGGAGATGTACAGTACTCCTACTGCTCCAGTTGCACAAGGAACACGGCTTCGCGGACGGCCGAGTTTTTTGAGAGATGGAAAACCTGGAAGGCCCAAAAAGATTTTCCATTACGCTAACAAAGCCTCAAACCAAAATAGCGTACCGAATGGAGTACGAGAAGCTATCAGTAGTCCAGAAAAAACATTATAACCAGATTAAGAAATGCGAAGAAATTTAATAAAGGGATTGGTGGCAAAGGCAGCGGCAAACTAACGGATTCCTTGATTAAAGACTTGACAATATATTACGGACTGGCCATTAGAAGACATCCAAATTCTGTATCTGAAATGAAAAATGCAATATGGTCGACATTTTATCATAAAATTTCTACTAATTTAAAACCTCAGCACACCCTCTGTCCACCCGGTCCAAATTCATGGTGTAAATGGCGAGTTGCGGAAGCTAATGGGACACTGGAACAGTTTCAGCATGAAGCTCCTCTTGCTGAAGGTGTTCAGAAAGTGATATACCCTATATATGAGGATCTTTCTTCGGAAGAACTGCTTCATCGGTGCTTGGGCGGATGCACGCAAAACAATAATGAAAGCTACAACTCTACGCTTTGGCAGTTTGTTCCAAAGCATATATACACGGGTGCTAAAGTGATTCAAATAGCAGCTTTTCTTGCCGTATGTACCTTCAATGATGGGTATTCTCCATTATTGAAAATATTGGAAATATTGGGAGTGAAAATTGGACCGCAGGCAAAGATGTTCGCCGATGCTTCGGACAATCGCCGTATAAATGCAGCAGAGCGTCGTTCCCTTGCTGCCACAAGGGAGGGTAGATTGGAGGAAAAACGACAGAAATTGAAAAATAATGAATTATTTGAAGAAGCAGAAGGACTATTATATGGACCCGGCATAGCAGATTGACCGTAAGATGCCACACTATCCACGTATACATATAAAAACTGGACGTAAAACTTTAAAGCTGTTTTTCTCGAAACTACATTTTTCGGCACTGCGTGCGTGATAACTAAAAAACTATTCAAGATATCAACATCAAATTTATACAGTATCTTCAGAACTGGTCTCCCTATAGCATGAACTAGGATAATTGCGATATATGCAATACTTTTTCTTTTATTAACAAAAAAGCAACCAAATATATGAAAATATTCAGTATTTTTTCGTAAAATAGCTGCCATTTTGCCATTTTTTGTTTTTTTGAAAAGATCCTAGTTCATGCTATAACCACACTCATCTATATTAATAATATCGTTGGTTTTAGGATTTCGAATAACTTGTTCGCAAGATATCACGTACGCAGTCGGGTGCCGTTCGTAAAAACTGTTGTTTGATGATCAACAAAAACAGCGTAATCAATAGATATTATGCGTTGCAAAAATTCGTAAATATAGCTAAATATATAATAAATCTATCTACAAAATCCGGAATTAATCGCTCTTTAATAACCCGCAAAAAAAATCACAAAGAAATACGTATTTTTCATGCCTACAAGGTAGAATGGCCCCTTAAGTCGATTCTGTGAGAGACCGCGATTAAGTCATTGGAAAATCGGCAAACGTGTATTACGATACTTGCGAAAAACAATAGATTATGCGATTACGTACAAAAAGGTAAACACAAAATTAGAAGTCTACGTTGATTCGGACTGGGCCGGTGATGTACAAGATAGACGTTCGTGCTCTGGATTCACCGTGATTTTAGCAGATGGTCCAGTTAGTTGGAGCACACGGAAACAAAAATGCGTGGCGCTTTCAACTATGGAAGCCGAATATATAGCTTTATCGGAAGCAACTAACGAGACAATTTATTTGAGAAGACTGCTACATCATATCAAATCGGGAGATCTTTCGTTTGATCCCACGGACGTCTTTTGCGATAACCAAAGTGCAATTGCTTTATGTAAAAATAGCGTTCTTCATTCTAGAAGTAAACATATAGATATAAGGTATCATTACTCGCGAGAAGCATTGGAAAATAACGAGACAAATGTAAAATACATAAGTACGTATGATATGGTAGCAGATATAATGACCAAAGCATTGCCAAAGACAAAACATGTAAGGTGTGTAAGGTTGTTAAATTTATCCGATGAGAACATGAACGAAGATGCTGACTCGTAATTAAGGGGGAGTGTTGAATTTCGCGGTAATCAGCGCGTCAGCATGCATACTATACTTATAGAATACTGATATAGATGTAGCTCTCGGGGATCGAGCCTTTGACGAGCGACCACGTTTTTCATTATATAGAGGTGTAAAGAATTACTAAAGTATTAAAGATTGAACTATGTTACTATTTTCTTATACGTGCAATTGATTTCTGTTCGGTCCACAACGAGTGAAATCTAACAATTCCTATACGCATAATTGCATTGAAAGTTTGCCTACATATGGTTTTATTTACCGAAAAGACTTGCAAACGTGACTGTAAATAATTTAAATTATTTTGTATTTAGCAAATTGTAAAATGCTTCATTTGTACTAAATGGTCGTAGTCGTTTCATGCAATTTTATTATAATAGACTGTTTCCACTTTTTTACAAGTGTTGAGATAAATTCTTCTGCCAGCAGCTTCAGTATTTCATACTGACGATAAAATAGTAGTTTTCTAAAAGAACAAAATATTACAAGCGGGGAAAAAAATAACCACAAGTTTGTAAAGAGCGGAGTAAAATAAAAATGGCAGCGGTAATAATAAAAGTACTAAGCGATAATACCGGACGGAAAATTTTTGAGATGCGTGTGAATTTTCTTCGTCTCTTGTACAAAACGTCTTAATTCTGAAGCGACTAATCGGCACACATCGACAAGTATTTGAACTGATAAGCCACATTCCTCCGCCTCGTGCGATAATTGAAAACAACAAACTGTTGCATCTTTCCTATCAGAAGTTGCAAACAATTACTCATCCGCTTGCTTGTTTTCAGAATAATGAAACTCGAGCACGATCGTACATAACCATAAATTTACTAGTAATTTTAATTACAATCAGCTATTTAATTCAAATTTTGATCAATTGTATTTTAATTATCCTCTTCTGCTATGTTTCTCTATCGCCATTGATTTTCAAATGGAAGCTGAAATAGTAAAGTAAATAAAAATTGAAAAAATAATTGTAAAGTTGCAATCATTAAATAATACAATTCCTTTCGCGAACAATTTTCTATTAAGCGTGTTTCGAAGCAAATTTAAATCTTCGTGCAGAGTTTAATAAAACTAAGTGCAACTTCTGAAGAAAAAACTTTTCAGGCGTAAAATAACAAATCATTCCGCAACACCTTTCACCGAACCGATAATATCTTAAATGCTGTTGCAAGCATAAATAAACGAAGCTAAAGCAGTAAAAAGGAGGGAAAGAAAACCTTCTATTACTTTCAAGAATGCCAGCGGATGAATCAGAACCAGTTCTATATTTTCGCTGGCAAGCAAGGTAAATAATTAAAATCGTTTACGCCCGATGCACTTTCGAAATTGAAAAGAAAAGTAAATTCCAAATTGTTACGTGTCCACTCGGCAAGAAACGCCGCATCGCGGTAGAAAAATATTTAACGCGGATGTTACAAAGAAACAGCAATGAACTCGTCGCCGCGCTGCCATTCAGAATCGCAAGGTTAACCGTGTAAGTGGAACACGAGAGAGAAGGAAAGTAAATTTCTGCGTTACCGGCCGAGTTTCATGATCGCGAGGGGAAAAGCTCGTCCTTGAGTTCATATTTCCCGGCACCGATAGATCGCGCTCGTAATCGGGAGTGAATTGAAGCGCACGGACACATGCCGTACCGTGGCCTCGAAAAGTCGGTGACTCGGCGGCTGAGTCCGACAAACGGTTTGCGACGTTGCCGCTAGCCTCTGCTTTAAAGCGTATACATATATTTCTCCCATCCCATCGCACACGTCGCACGCGATAAATTCTTCCTCGATCGCATTCGGAACCGTCGTTTCTCTGGTCGAACGGATCGTTTTCCGAACCAGAAATGGGCTTAAAAAAAATAATACGAAAGCAAGACGAGAAATCAAGGGGCAAAAATTGCGTCGATGGAATCACATAAATCCATACGTAAA